ACCCTGATGTTGGGAAAGATGGAGGGCACAAGGAGAAGGGGACGACGGAGGACGAGATGGTTGGACAGTGTTCTCAAAGCTACCAGCATGAGTTTGACCAAGCTGTGGGGGGCAGTGGAAGACAGGAGTGCCTGGCGTGCTCTGGTCCATGGGGTCACGAAGAGTCGGACACGACTAAACAACTAAACAACAACAACATGTGGTTGGGACCTGAAAGACATACTGGACAACAGTGTTCCAGTGTGCAACAGGAGGTTGAGAGCAGCCATTTAAATTTCCCACAATGCCTTGGGGTGAAGCTACTTTGGGAATGTGGTAGGAAATTGGCATGGGGACAGTGAGACCTAGATGGTTGGCATTTCTTGGTGGTCGGGAAATTCAAGCCAGCATCCATGGTGGGTTTTGCCGTTGACCTGGGACTCCCAGTATCTACCAGAGAGTGCTTTTCACTGGTGCAGGTGATGATCATGTGACCCTGCTCATGTATGCATTCCTTTCTTTATGGCGTTTATATTCAGTCTCTCCCCCCCACCCCCATTTTATTCTCACAACAACCCTGTGAGGTAGGTTAGGCTGAGAGGCATCGATGGGCCCAAGGTCACCCAACAAGCTTCATAGCTGAGTGGGGATTCGAACCCTGGCCTCCCAGCTCCTAGCCTGGCACTCTAACCACTATGCCACACTGCCCCAATGGCATCTGAGACTCAAGTTGCCAGCGCCTTCCCAGGAAAAGCATTGCTTCGGGTTAATAAGCATTCTCAAGATTCGTGTGCAATTCCAGCCTTTATTTCATACCATTGTCAAGCTTGCTTATAATATATATATATATATATATATATATAATATTTATATATAAAGTAGAATAGAGGGAGGGGGAAAGCATCGGATATATTTTCATAAATATTTCTGTATGTTCCGCATACAAAACAAAATATGTACATCTGCGAAAGATAGTGGTTCTGTGCTGGGATTAATCCTGGCAGGACCGTGCAGCCTGTCCCAGTGTTTTCAGCGAGGTCTGTCAATTGGGGACAATGTCAGTGTCTGAAATTCATGCATATCCCTCTGTGGGGGTCTCAAGACTCTTCGTCTGTAGCTAGCATACACACCCAAACATGCACACACACCCCCTCCAGAACCAACTGCAGTGAGACTCAGGGTACCAGCGATAATTCTCTAGTTGTGATTCCTGCTGGTCAGGGGGTTGGCCGAGATGACCTATGTCCACACCTTTCCCATCCCTGGCCTAGCAGAACCACCCACAGCCCAGGTGTGCCCAACACAAACCTTTCTCCTTGTCCCGGTCTGTGGTTGGGTATAAGCAACATTGCCGTTCAGGAGAGGGCAAGGCTGAGACGAATAGGTAAAGGTAATGGGACCCCTGACCATTAGGTCCAGTTGCGGACAACTCTGGGGTTGCGGCACTCATCTCGCTTTACTGGCCGAGGGAGCCGGCGTACAGCTTCTGGGTCATGTGGCCAGCATGACTAAGCCGCTTCTGGCGAACCAGAGCAGCACACAGAAACTCCGTTTACCTTCCCACCGGAGTGGTACCTATTTATCTACTTGCACTTTGATGTGCTTTCGAACTGCTAGGTGGGCAGGAGCAGGGACCGGGCAAAGGAAGCTCACCCTATCATGGGGATTCGAACCGCCAACCTTCTGATCGGCAAGTCTTAGACTCTGTGGTTTAACCCATAGCACTACCTGTGTCCCTTAGACTAATAGATAGTCAGGGATGAATATTCTTCGCTGTTTCCTGCCAAATTCCCAAGCTCTACCCTTCCTAAACTCTTCCTTCTCCTCTCTTGCATGAAGCAGCCACGAGAAACCAGCTCCCACCACGTAGGTTTAAAATCCAAAGCCATCCTTGTAAATCTGAAGAAACTATAAGTAAAGAACCGTTTCTTCCCTTACCAATGAGACTTCTCTGTGTTTTATGAACTTTTTTAAACAATGCAAGTGATCTGTGAATGAGACAGACTGAGGGACTGGATAGATCCAGCTTCCAAGCTTTGAACTCAGCTATACAGTGGTACCTCAGGAGTCGAACAGAATCCATTCCGGAAGTCCGTCCGACTCCCGAAACAGTTTGAGCAGCCAATCGGAAGCTGCCGAAGTTGCAACAGACCTTCGCAAAGAACTTTTGCAAACCGGAAACACTCACTTCCAGGTTTGCGGCATCCGAGAGCCAAAACGTTCAACTCCCAAGGCGTTCGGTTTCCAAGGTACGCCTGTACAGCGGTACCTCGGGTTACATACGCTTCAGGTTACATACGCAGGATAAGGACAGAAATCGTGCTCCGGTGGCGCGGCGGCAGCAGGAGGCCCCATTAGCTAAAGTGGCGCTTCAGGCTAAGAACAGTTTCAGGTTAAGAACGGACCTCCAGAACGAATTAAGTACTTAACCTGAGGTCCCACTGTATAACTATATTTTTTTTAAAAAAAAAAACAACCACCACAAAATCTGCCATGTGGTTTTCCTCAACGCATCACTTGCCGTGGTTATTTTAGGTCCCATCTGCGCTACACACTCACAGCAGTGCCATGCCACGATTCCCTGCCTAGGAATAATAACAGCTTAACTTTGGGTACCAATCCAAGATTATGCACATTCCCAGCCATATCTTGCCACCATGAGTGGGACGCATGAGATTGTCCTTTGCCGTCGAAGCTCTCTTTCATGGTGGATCGATGCAAGGATCAGCAGCTGGCAGGTCTGGGGCCAGGGCATAAGGAAGAGCCCTACTGGATTGGCACGAAATCTCAGCATCCTGATCCCGGGAGTGGTCCACCGGGTGCATCCCAGAATCCCACAAAGACAACGGTTGCCGTCCCTGACCCTGTTTTCCCAGCAACTGGTATTTCGAGAAAGACTGCTCTTGAACCTGGAGGCTCCATTGACTTTTCACGGCTGACAGGGGTGAAGCCAGGCCTGCCGTCGGCACCTAGCCTGCTCAGGCAATTGCCAGGGCAACCCCAAAGTGCCCACTGGTGCTGATGTTGGTTGCTGGCATCGTTTTCTTTTGTTTGGCTTTCTTTTGCATGGCAAGTGTGCTGTGATGCCAAGGTGGCAGTCGCTCGCCCCTTTCAGGACTTAGAAACTTTCTAGAGAAAAGGCAGCGTGCAACTACAGCCTCAGGGGGCGCTCTGCTTTGCAGTGTGCCTGCTGTCCTCAGAAAAATATCAAAGCACAAGGGTCTCTTCCCCACTGCCACCTCATAAGCTTCCTTGGGGAGACCACCAGGTTGCCATGGGGATCCCCCAGAGGACACCGTGCCCAGGGCTCCCAGAAACCTGATGCCAACTCTGGGGGGAGGCTACCCTCCAACTGCCCAGCCCCAAATCTAAAGCTGTGGGAGGTAGTGGTTGCTGCAAGCGTAGGACTTAGAGCACTTCCAGATGGCCTGCTTATTGAGCATGTATCTTGATTTGCCTGCAGGGAGGTTAGGCAACTAGCAAGAGCTCTTCCCCAACCAAAATGGTCAAAGGCCTGGAAACGATGCCTTATGAGGAACGGCTAAGGGAGCTGGGCATGTTTAGCCTGGAGAAGAGGAGGTTAAGGGGTGATATGATAGCCATGTTCAAATATATAAAAGGATGTCACATAGAGGAGGGAGAAAGGTTGTTTTCTGCCGCTCCAGAGAAGAGGACACGGAGCAATGGATCCAAACTACAAGAAAGAAGATTCCACCTAAACATTAGGAAGAACTTCCTGACAGTAAGAGCTGTTCGACAGTGGGATTTGCTGCCAAGGAGTGTGGTGGAGTCTCCTTCTTTGGAGGTCTTTAAGCAGAGGCTTGACAAGCATATGTCAGGAGTGCTCTGATGGTGTTTCCTGCTTGGCAGGGGGTTGGACTCGATGGCCCCTGTGGTCTCTTCCAACTCTATGATTCTATGATTCCATCACTTTCCTTCCAGCAAAAGTCCCCAAGACTGCTAGTTTGGTTCCAGTTGTGCAACCTGTCTTTGCTGGTCTGCAGCTGAATCCTACCCACAAAACTAAGACAGCCTGGAGGTGCCCCAAGTCTCTCCGGTGTTGTTCTTGATGTTTGTGCCCTCCCCCTCTGCCAATTCAGAAGCATGGCTTACCGCCTCCTTCTGGACATGCTCTGCAAGCGCAGGAGCCTCTGAGCAAGGCACACAAGAGAGAACTCAAGAGAAAGAGAGAAACATGGTGAAATTCACAACAGCGAGAGCTCACTTTTGAGGAACGGGGCTCGATCCTTGCCTGCTCCTTTCCGCTGCGTCATCAGCTTCTCAAAGTGACCGTCTGTCAAAAGCAGGGTTTCCCAAACTTGGGTCTCCAGCTTTTTTGGACTACAACTCCCATCATCCCTAGCTAGCAGGACCAGCGGTCAGGGATGATGGGATTTGTAATCCAAAAACAGCTGGAGACCCAAGTTTCCTGGTCAAAAGCACACCAGGCACAGTCACTCAACCCTAGAAGGATGGGGAAAACGGGGGCAAAATACTATGGGGATCTTTGACGGCACTCCCATCCAAAAAAAGAACGATGTTGTGAAAAGGGAACCAGTAGTGAGAGGGAGAGAGGGAGAGGGAGAGACTCTGCAGTAAAACACTGTAGAATTTCCTTTGTCCGCTATCAAATGTCATGTTACATTACAACAGAGAAACAAAGGCTCTCCTGTATTGACTTTCATGTGTTCTTATCCCATTCCTGGCAACCAGCTTCCCATTCCCCCGGCCACACAGCACACACAGAAGGCACTCAGTGGCCACGTATTGAACAATAACAAGAAGGCCGGTTGTCCACTATATAAGCACCGAGTTTGGTCTTTGCAGTTGTTTTGGCAATGAAGATCCAAGCGCCAACACCTGTTTGCCAGTTTAATCCACGCCGTCCTCCACGGATTGCGAAAGATCCTTCCCAAAAGGTGACAATTTATGAAATGTCTGGTCATTCCAGCGTTGCGATGGCTTTCCAACAGTCTTGTGGGTTTCTTGTTTATAAAAGCAAGGCAAACATCGTCCAGGGTTCAGAAAGCTTTTCTCCTGTCCGAAAAGCGCTGGGGAGGAGGGTGGGGAATGTGGCACAGATGTCTCAAGTCTGCGGGCCCAGAGGGGAGCCGAGTGGCGCGAGGAGGGGTCTCACTTGCACACGTATCTCTCGACAGTCCTCTCGCACTTTTTGCAGGTGACGTAGCAGCACCAGTGGTACTTGCAGTGGCAGCGCTCCACCACTTTGTCCATGTAGGGGTTGTAGCCGCGGCCGCAGCACATAAGGTCACAGCTGTCGCTGCCGTTGGAGGTCTTGTTGCATTGCCTGCAAGACAGAAAACGTCATGAGCTGGGGATGCCAAAGGCTGGAGGGTGGGGAAAGATGCCTGAGGAACTCAGCTGCGAAGCCCATCAGGCTCCTTGTGGGACTGGGAGCTGGAAGGGAACCAATACATCATCAGGTTGGAAGCGGCCAAAAGCATCTCCGCCTGGGAAGACTTTTCCCTTTCGGGGAAAGGGCTGAAGCTCAGCCGTAGAGCATCTGTTTCGCATGCCGAAGGGCCCAAGTCCAATCCTCACCATCTCTCCAAAGAGGCCTGGGAATATCCCTTGCCTGGAACCTCGGAGAGCCTCTTCCAAGAAGGACCAATAGTCCAATTTAGCTGAAAGTGACGTCCTACGTTTCTATCCTCAAACGCAATGCATGGTCTCCCTCCGACATTGCAGGAAGAGGAGACAGGACACAAGCAGAGGCACATCTGCTGAAATTGCAGCATTTGCACAGGTTACAGCACCAAATTTGGATCGGGACCCTCTTGTTGTGGGTGCTCACGCCTCCAAACTGGAAGGGGCTGATGCCCACCTTCCAAAATTTTCTGATGGAAATAGGGACGTCCTATTCCACATGCCCTCCAACATTTCTCTGATGGAAATAGGGACATTCTATTCCATACCCTCCAACATTTCTCTGATGGAAATAGGGACATTCTATTCCATACCGGCCAACATTTCTCAGATGAAAATAGGGACATCCTACTCCATATCCTCCAACATTTTCCCAATGAAAATAGGAACATCCTATTCCATACCCTCCAACATTTCTCTGATGGAAATAGGGACATGCAATCCATACCCTCCAAGATTTCTCCAATGAAAACAGAGACGTCCTAAGGAAAAGCAGGACATTCCTGGATCAAATCAGAAACTGGGACAGCTTCTACAAATCTGAGGCTGTCCCTGAAAAATAGGGACATTTGGAGGCGCTGCTGATGGAGTCACCAGAACAAGGATGGTGCTTTGAAAGGAAGGGGGAGTCAGTTAGCACCGTGTTCCTATAATCTTTCAGGGGACATGTGAAGAGGGGTGAAAACACTTGCCTCCTTTGAACCGCCACATTAAAGGAAGCCATCCCAGCAGGGCAATCCTTGCAACACAGCTGTGGGAGTTGTTTTTCTTTCTGCTCAAAGGAGTGCTGTTCTTTTTTTTAAATATTGGGGTGGAGGGAATCCCCCCTCAAAACGTTGCCTTTTGCTGTGACCACACGAATATAAGAATGTGCTTTATGCCAGATCAGACTATTTGTCTACTGAGCTCAGTGCTGTCTACTCCAGGGGTGAGAAATGTAATTCCCCACCCCAGTTTTGGGGGACAACTCACACGAGCTCCAGCCAGCATTGTCTAGGATCAGGGATGATGGGGGTTTTTAGTTAGTGATGGGCACATTCTGTCAGTTTTCCGTTGCTCTCAGCTTCTTACTTTGCCGGCCTTAAGTTCAGTTCTCCACACTGCCAAATCAGTCCCCCCCCCTTTTTTAAAAAAGCCCTCAGCAAATTCATCAGCATTCCTGTGTGAATTTCTCCTAATACACACAATTTTAAGAATTCTAAGAATTAGAAGGATTCTAAGAAACCCAAAATCAGCGCAGTTCTGAAAGGTTCTGCCTGCCATGTTGATTCAAAATGGCACCTAACTGTATTCAAACATAGACAAAAACCTGCTCCCTGACCTCAGGAACCACCATGCAACATTTGGTGATGATAACGTGGTCTTAGATTGTCCTTTAAATGTGAACAGAATCAGAATTCTCTACAAAAACTGGGTATCGGCTATTCCTGGTCTAGTCTCACTGGCAGTTCTTCAGGGTCTCAGGGACAAGAGAGGCGCTTTTACTGCCTTCTGCTTGACCCTTCTAGCTAGAGATGCCAGGGATTGAATCTGGACCATCTACATGCAAAGCAGATGCTCAAACCACTGGGCAATGGCCCTCCCATAAATAATAATAATAATTTATTATTTCTACCCCGCCCATCTGGCTGGGTTTCCCCAGCCACTCTGGGCATCTTTCAACAGAACATTAGAAACAGAATAAAACTTCAAACATTAAAAAGTTCCCTAAACAGGGTTCCCTTCAGATGTCTTCTAAAAGTCAGATACAGTGGTACCGCGGGTTAAGAACTTAATTCGTTCTGGAGGTCCGTTCTTAAGCTGAAACTGTTCTTAACCTGAGGTACCACTTTAGCTAATGGGGCCTCCTGCTGCCGCCATGCGATTTCTGTTCTCATCCTGAAGCAAAGTTCTTAACCCGAGGTACTATTTCTGGGTTAGCGGAGTCTGTAACCTGAAGCGTCTGTAACCCGAGGTACCACTGTATTTCCTTGACATCTGACGGGAGGGCGTTCCATAGGGCGGGTGCCACCACCAAGAAGACCCTCTGCCTGGTTCCCTGTAACCTCATTTCTCGCAGATAGGGAACTGCCAGAAGGCCCTCGGCGCTGGACCTCAGTGTCCGGGCAGAACGATGGGGGTGGCGACGCTCCTTCAGGTATACTAGGCCGAAGCAAAGAATTTTTTGGCAAGCCCTAAATCTCATTCCTCCAGCAACCCCCCCCCCCAAATACCACACAAGGCCATGCATCGCCCCCTCTTAACCATGATCCAAACTTCACAGCAGCACCATTCTGGGCTCAGTTTCTGGTTGCAGCTGCGCGGTGCCAACTGCCAATAAACACAAGGTCCAATGGATGTGGAAAAGCTGCGATTTTTTTCTGTCTCTTTACAAACGGCTTCAACATTGCTTCCAAAACAGCCTGGCGTGCTCCGTCGCTTTGGACGCGGCCATAATTCAACATGAGATCTGGTTGGCGAGAAGCAGGGGAGGGAAACCGAGGTGGTGGATGAGCTGAGGACTGCTGGACCCTACGCCGTGGACCATCGGTTAATGGATGGAAATGAATCCGAAGAGATTTATATGAAATTCCTCATGAGGTAATGCTTATGAGAAGTTATGGGATTAATGAAGTGCTGAGATCTCGTTCTCGGCCTGTCCTTTTATTTATTTCTGACTCAGCCTGGCCTCCTGTTTGTTATTTCAGATTTGAGTTCCTATCCAGGTTTAACTCTCCCTCCCCTTTCCTGGCTCTCTTAAGCCGGCCGTTCTCATCACCCACTTCTTTTTTTTCCAGGGGTGTGGGGTGGGCTAAGGGGGAGAGAAGAGATGCGTGCAAATATTTACAGATCTCTGGAAGGCTCGGCGCGGCTCCTTCGTTGCAGAATGTCCCCCCCGGGAGCCAAAAACCCACAATTTGCGGCCACATGCTGCATGTTTGTCTAGTGCTGGACCAAAGGCGTCACTCGAAAGACACCCCTGCGAGCCAGGATGGCCGCCGGCAGCAAACCTCAGCGCAATCCCTCCTACACAAATTAGCCGAGAAGACAAATATTTGGAGCAAAGGTTCACAGGCTGAAAACAGGCACGCGGGGGGAGCTGGAGGGTTTGGGAGGAACTTTCGTGACTATAAACCCCCTGGATTGCCAGAAAATCATCAGCAGGGAAGGGTGTGATTTGTAGGAGAAAAGTGTGAGGTGAAAGGTGTGAGAGGATTAGACAAATTCATGGAGGTCATCACGACTATCTTCCACTGCTAGAGGCCCTAAGCCTCTGAATACCAGTTGTTCAGGAACATAAGTGTTCTTGAGCTCAGGTCCTACTTAAAGGCATCAGGTTGGCCAACAGGATGCTAGACTAGATGGACCATTGGCCTGATCCAACAGGCTCATCTTCTGTTCTTCTCATGTTTAGACTAGGACCACAGCCCTGAATCTGCTTCCTTTGCAGATGTTAAAACACACAGCATCTTAAAAAGCAGAGACATCACCTTGCCGACAAAGGTCCGTATAGTTAAAGCTCTGGTTTTCCCACTAGTGATGTATGGAAGTGAGAGCTGGACCATAAAGAAGGCTGACCGCCAAAGAATGGATGCTTTTGAATTCTGGTGCTGGAGGAGACTCTTGAGAGTCCCATGGACTGCAAGAAAATCAAACCTCTCCATTCTGAAGGAAATCAGCCCTGAGTGCTCACTGGAAGGACAGATCGTGAAGCTGAGGCTCCAATACATTGGCCACCTCATGAGAAGAGAAGACTCCCTGGAAAAGACCCTGATGTTGGGAAAGATGGAGGGCACAAGGAGAAGGGAACGACAGAGGATGAGATGGTTGGATAGTGTTCTCGAAGCTACCAGCATGAGTTTGACCTAACTGTGGGAGGCAGTGGAAGACAGGAGTGCCTGGCGTGCTCTGGTCCATGGGGTCACGAAGAGTCGGACACGACTAAACGACTAAACAACAACAACACACCACACTCTTTCTGCCATTGGCCTCATGCCCTGCACTGATGGGCTTCCCAGAAGAGACATCTCTTCTGCAGTAGAAAACAGCATGGTGGATCTTTAGCCTGGCCGGCAGATTGACTCTTCTGATATCTGTATTCCAGATAAGAACCCATCTCTCCCTTCACCACCCTGCAAACTCTTCTGCTTTGTTCAGAACTTGTTTACTCCTCCTTTCCCTTCTTGTCTTCGACAAAGATCAGATCATGCCAAAGAACAAAGGAGCGTAGATGAATACCGTGTGCCAAATTCAACTATTTCCCCATTTACACCAGTGTAGTTTTATTTTGATTGGCAGGGGCACCCCAATGGCTGTTTCAAAAGAACTCCCAAGCACCTGCTACCAGAAATTCCTATTTTTTTTTTAAGATTACCCACTCTGGATCCCACAGCTAATTCTCCCCTGGTCTCCTCGCTGGCCCAAATAGGACTAATTTAGCCAGCTAGCCCTGGTGATCATCTAATGTTTATTGGATGGATTTCCCCCCTAAATTGATTTTTGAATTTATTGTTATTCCCATTTTATACTGTATTTTATGCTGTTTTTTGTTGCATCAACTAAGTGTTTTAAATTTGTTGTTAGCTGCCCTGAGCCTGGTTTTCTGAATTGGGAAGGACGGGGTATAAATAAAAATTTATTATTATTAGTCTGCAAATATCACACAACCAATTAATGTTTCTACAGTTTGCCTTCTGTTAAAATGCATGGCCCGTAGCAGATAGGGAGATGAATGAAACAGGTTTTAGTGGAGGCAAAACTGTAGCAGAACAGAAAGTGCAGATTGCAATGAACATAGGGCAATATGAAAATCACTACTTCCTTACATCCCTGGCTTTGGCGCTTCCTCATAGCTGTTCCACAAACCAAACCAGAGCTCACTAATCTAAAAGGGATGGGGGAAAGAGAGCCATTTCACTTTCCAAGTATAATTGCTCATTTCATAGAGAATTGAATCAACTGATTTATTTATTTTTTGGAAACCTAAGTTGTTTCACCCTTACCAGTGAAAGGCAGAGATATTCCTGCTTTGTCTTTTACTCTTTCCCCTATTCCCTTTCCATTAACTGCATCCTAGTCTGGTATCATTTACCGCTTATTTCAAAACTGTTGGTGAGTGTTTTAAGAAGAAGGTGGGAGGCTGGTGTTAGGAAACTCAAAGGGCCTCATTTAAAAGATAAGGTTAAACAGGGTTTTCCTTACAAGGAAGTTCCATCCCCAAAGCTGAATAGAAACCATATTTTCTCCCTGGTTCAGCACATGCTTCTTACTGATGCTCATAAATCGGCGGAGCTGTTTCGCAAACCAGTTCCTGTCAAGATTTATCTTCCTCTCCAGGTTGTATTTCTTTTGCTTAGCAAAACCACGGCAGAGATAAGCATGAGGGGAGATCTATCTACGCAATAGTGCTGGCCCATCGGAAACGTAATTCTCAAGATGTAGAATCGCGCACCAATTCTGTGCAGTTTAAAACTATGGGTTCCCATCTAGGCCTTGTGCAATTTGGCCGTTTGCGGAATCTGGGAGGGTTCTGGGAGAATCCAAGAGGGCAGGGCACATTAGCAGGAACGCCAACTCCAGATTCAAGCTACGAATGCTCCCTAAAGCTTGGGTGTGTTTAGATTTCAGGACTTTGGTTCAGGACCGCTTCCAGTTTCAACATTTTTGTTGTTGTTGAAAAAGAGGAAGGAAAGAAAGAGCATAAATGAAAACAGGCTTTCTTTTTCCAACATGGCCCCAGGATAACTAAGAACGAGTCCCAGATTCCCACTTAAAGCTTTCTAAGCACCACCGTGCCCTCATTTGGGTGGGTGGGGTGAGCGTTTTACATAGACCTGTTTTAGTCATTTGATTCCCCCCAGGAATTCACCCATAGGGGAAGGATGCTAATTGGGGAATGATCATTAGGTCAAAATGGACACATCCTCTTCAGTTAACCAATGCATCCACCTGCTGACGTGAAATTGTTCCCTGCGGCGCATGATGCAACTCTATGCATAAAGTCATAGACAATGGAACATTCTCCCTAATTATCCCCATCATCCTGTTAAGTGATCAAAACACAATTGACGGGATGCGAGAGAAGTTTCCCACCTTCGCCTCTGCTTCTTTTTCCACATGTTCATCTTCTCCCACCCTCAAGTTCCTCCTTCTTTCCAGTTCCCCTTTACAAGACCATTGATGGAAACAATGGATTCAGCAGAGATCTTGGGTTTCTAAATCACATGAAGGTCACAAGTCAGAGAGTTGTTTCAGATAGCCTTGCCTTGCCTTGCCAGCAACTCTCCTTTGAAACACAGGTGCAACTTGCAGCACGTAAGGTGGGTTATTTATTTGCTATTTATTACAGCATGATCACAGGGACGCGGGTGGCGCTGTGGGTTAAACCACAGAGCCTGGGACTTGCCGACCAGAAGGTTGGCGGTTTGAATCCCCACGACGGGGTGAGCTCCTGTTTTTCGGTCCCTGCTCCTGCCAACCTAGCAGTTCAAAAGCACATCAAAGTGCAAGTAGATAAATAGATACCACTCCAGCGGGAAGGTAAACAGTGTTTCCATGCGCTGCTCTGGTTTGCCAGAAGCGGCTTAGTCATGCTGGCCACATGATCCGGAAGCTGTACGCTGGCTCCCTCGGCCAGTAAAGCGTGATGAGCCAGATGAGAGCGCAACCCCAGAGTTGTCCGTGACTGGACCTAATGGTCAGGGGTCCCTTTAGCTTTTTTTTACAGCATGATCACATCTGCTGCATGTTCAGCTCATGTAGTTTCAGCCACACGCAGTTGGCGCCTGGCTGGTTAAAAACCCACAAGTTAGCTCAGCTGATTAGAGCGTGGTGCTGATAACTTCCGGGTCGTGGATTTTATCCCCCTGCAGACCACCTACATATTCCTGCATCGCAGGGGACTAGACGACTCTCATGGGCAGGCCCGGATTTAGGTTTGATGAGGCCCTAAGCTACTGAAGGTAATGGAGCCCTTTATATGTCCAGCTGTGCTTTGTCAACAACAAATGGTCGCTGTTTTTTGTGTTGAATATATGCTATATGGTGAGAGCTGGAACATAAAGAAGGCTGATCGCTGAAGAATTGATGCTTTTGAATTATGGTGCTGGAGGAGACTCTTGAGAGTCCCATGGACTGCAAGAAGATCAAACCGATCCATTCTGAAGGAAATCAGCCCTGAGTGCTCACTGGAAGGACAGATCCTGAAGCTGAGGCTCCAAGACTTTGGCCACCTCATGAGAAGAGAAGACTCCCTGGAAAAGACCCTGATGTTGGGAAAGATGGAGGGCACAAGGAGAAGAGGACGGCAGAGGATGAGATGGTGGGACAGTGTTCTCAAAGCTACGAACATGAGTCTGACCAAACTGTGGGAGGCAGTGGAAGACAGAAGTGCCTGGCGTGCTCTGGTCCAGGGGGTCACAAAGAGTCGGACAAGACTAAACGACTAAACAACAACATTTATACCCCGCCCATCTGGCTGAGTTTCCCCAGCCACTCTGGATGGGCCAGGGCTGCCCCGACCTTAAGTGCCCCCCAGTAAGCCCACCCCGACTGCCAGCCGATTGGCTGGCCGCTGTGGGTGATGAATAATAATGACCCTGGGAAATCCCTGAGTCCCGCGGGGCTGCGAGAATGTAGGTGGGGGCTTGAGCCCACAACCCCCCCTCCTTATGTCGGGAGTGGCTTTGCTGTATGTAGATTTTATTTTATTTGTTTTTTATCTTATATTTTGGAAATGTACATCCAGTTTTTTCCCCTTTAAATTTTTTTGGGGGGCCCCAAGAGAGTGGGGCCCTAAGCTATGGCATGTTTAGCTTATACGTAAATCTGGCAATGCTCAGGGGACCTTCCATCTAAACAATTCCTATGATTCTATGAAATTAAAGTATTGTTTCCTGCTTGGCAGGGGGTTGGACTCGATGGCCCTTGTGGTCTCTTCCAACTCTATGATTCTATGAAGTAAGGCAGAGGGCTTGTTGGACTTCCTGAGGCTTCACTACGCACTCTTCCCCTGTTTTTAGTAATGCTTCATAAATTTATTACGAATTACATGGAGGGCACCAGAATCTTTGCACCGCTTGGGGCCTCTCAAGGCCTTAATCCAGCCCTGGGCAGGGAGCTTAGATGATGATGCCTATCTGTTCTGATGTGCTTGCAGGGACACTAGATGATGTTGCATCAAAATAAGTGTGATCCCACACTCCCCAATGCCTTTCCAGCGCACTTTTTTTGGGGGGGGGGAGCAGGTTTGTTGCACAAGACCACCCTATAAAATACAACAGGGCAATTTACCCAGATGTGCTGTAATCCCACCCGAAAACAGCAATAGTCTGGAAGCCCTACACTTCTATACGGGACAGACCACAGGTGCTTATTTGTTAAGCATCGCTTCCAGAAGTACAAAGCCACCAATTCTGCAAACCGCAAACAGCCGAGCACACCAGAGATTGAAGATGTGGGTTCCTATTTCCATGAGTGAGTGAGGGAAGCTTAAATCTGCTAGTAAAAGCATTGGACAGATAGCTTATCAGCTCTTTCTGAGCATGTTAAGCATCTGAGCTGCTCCAGACAATAAGGTCTGCATTATGCATTCCTGGAAAGTCCATCCCAGATATGGAACTCATAACATGGTTCTGGAGAAAACAAAGTTATCTTTTATGCCTCCATACATTTTTGTTTCTTTTCTAAAGGGGCTTTTAATAAAGGGACAGAAGTAATGATGGAATCAACTACTACCGGCTACCTGCAATATTACAAAGCATTTAACTAGATGCATGCAAGCAGTGGGTTGCCTTGTTCCGCACAGATAGCTGCCTTAAACTGAGTCAAACCATTGGTCCATTTGACTCAGTATTGGCTACACAGGCTGGCAGCAGCTTTCCAGGATTTCAGGCAGGGGACACCCCAAGCCCCATCTGAGGACTGAGCTGAGCACCTCCTGTGTACAAAGCAGATCTTACACCGCTAAGCTACAGCAACTATTCTCTTGGATATGTGTTATGTAGAGATCTCAGTTTGGGCAATCAACTTCCAACCTCCAGGGGTTTCCTGGTTATAAAAGGGGAAGTCATACAGAAATTCAGAGAAGTTTTCAAATTGGAAGACAGGTGAACTAATGCCAGTGTACTGGAAGAAGCAAAGATCACCCGTGTTGAAGCAATGATTCTTCAACATCAACTTCGTTGGACTGGCCATGTTGTGCGGATGCCTGATGATCGTCTTCCAAAGCAACTACTCTATTCCAAACTTAAAATTTGAAAGCGTAATGCTGGTGGTCAACAAAAAAGGTTTAAAGACTGTCTCAAGGCAAATCTAAAAAATGTAGTATAAACACTGACAACTGGGAAACACTGGCCTGCAAGTGCTCCAGTTGGAGAACAGCCTTTACCAAAGGTGTCATGAAGACACTTGAACTCAGGACACAAGGGAGAAACATGCCAAGAGGAAGGCATGCTTGGCGAATCCACACCGTGATCAACTCCTGCCCAGAAACCAACGTCAACACTGTGGAAGGATGTGTGGATCCAGAAGTGGCCTCCACAGTCACTTATGGTCTCATAGTTAAAACCATGTTCATGGAAGACAATCTTACTTGGCTATGAGTGAGAAGAAGAAGAAGAAGAAGAAGAAGAAGAAGAAGAAGAAGAAGAAGAAGCCGCCTCCAGGTGACTGTAGAAACAGCTGTCAGAATTTAGAGCTACAGGTGGTCCACCTTTTCAGCGTCACAACTCCTGCTTTCAGTGTTTGGCTCTGTGGTCTAAACCACCAAGCCTAGGGCTTGCCAATCAGAAGGTCAACAGTTTGAATCCCCGCCACAGGGTGAGCTCCCGTTGCTCTGTCCCAGCTCCTGCCAACCTAGCAGTTCAAAAGCATGTCAAAGTGCAAGTAGATAAATAGGTACCACTCCAGCGGGAAGGTAAACAGCGTTTTCGTGCGCTGCTCTGGTTCACAGGAAGCGGCTTAGTCATGCTGGCCACATGACCCGGAAGCTGTACACCAGCTCCCTTGGCCAGTAAAGCCTGATGAGCACCGCAACCCCAGTGTCATCCGCGACTGGACCTAAATGTCAGGGGCCCCTTTACCTTTACCTTTTACCTAAAGGAACTGATCTGCTGGTTTGAATGAGCAAGTGAGGGGGCTCTGTGTGGATGCCTGTAACTCCCATTCTGACGCCACTACAGTCACCCAGAAGCTTCTGAATGCGTGGCAGCTGGGTCAAAGTCTAATGTGTGAACTGGGGGGCAGTTTATGAGCTTCTTGTGTGCTGCTCTGCTTTTGTACTTGTAGGTTTCATACAAGCAGGAATTGTGGACAATTGTAGTCAGAAAACATTGTATGCTGGACCCACAGCTCCAAGTTCCATTAAATATGGCAGTGCTTCCCTACCGTTAGGACAGAGATGGGGAAAAACAGGCTCAATGCGGCCCTTCAGTCTTCTCTGTCTGGCCCTCCAGACTCTCCCCAAGCCACATCCTCTCGTGCCTCTGCTTTGACTCCTCCTTAAGTATGTTTGCCTGGTTTGCTGAACTCTGCTTGCTTATCTTGCTGGAGGGCAGAAAGATCAATCTTATTGTACAGAGGTAACATTTACATTCATGGCTCCGCCCACTTTTGCCACTGGCACATGGCTCCCAGAAGGCAATGCAGCTTTTACACTAAGAAAAGTTCCTCACCCCTGGCTTAGGTAAAAAGGGTAAAAGGTAAAGGACCCCTGGATGGTTAAGTCCAGTCAAAGGCGACTATGGGGTTGCAGCGCTCATCTCGCTTTCAGGCCGAGGGAGCCAGCGTTTGTTCACAGGCAGCTTTCCGGGTTATGTGGCCAGCAGGAATAAACCGCTTCTGGTGCAATGGGACACCGTGATGGAAACCAGAGTGCACGGAAATGCCGTTTACCTTCCCGCCACAGCGGTACCTATTTATCTACTTGCACTGGTGTGCTTTCGAACTGCTAGGTTGGCAGGAGCAGGGACAGAGCAACAGGAGCTCACTCCATCGCAGGGATTTGAACCGCCGACCTTCTGATCGCCAAGCCCAAGAGGCTCAGTGGTTGAGACCACAGTGCCACCCGCCTCGCTGGCTTAAGCCTTTCCACACTCACTGCTTCTCCCAGGCAGTCACTCCCCCCTGGATCCTTTTCTCTGAGATGGAGCAACATGCTTGGGAATCCAGGGACAGGGAAAGGAGGCTGCAGGTAGCATCCTCCTCCAGCAGTTGATATGGTGGTAGACTACCCCTGAGCCTGGAGGTTCCATTGGACCACAACTAATAGGCATTGATAGACTTCTGTTGCGCAACCCACAGCCCAGATACACCTAAGAGAATCCAATTCATAGCAGCACTGCCTGAAGTCCATTCTTGAGTACATAAATCCATTAATAGCACCAGTTAATCCACTAATGTTCTCAGAGGAGGGGGAAGCGGGAAGGAGGGGGAAAGAGAGGCTTGTCCTGGCGACATCGCCTTTCCGACACCTCTGGTTTGCTGATCCCTGCTCCAACTTGAAAGGGAAAGTGTCTTTTCTTCTTCCTCTGCCAGTACAGAGCAAGCGAGTGTGAATGGATGAAATGGGGACACATTATTGCTGGGGAGGCCGGTGGGCAGCCAGAAGGATGCACACCTTCTGAGAAAGCGCTTTCGGCCCAACGGATCGGTTTTAAAAGGCAGCAGCGGTGGGATCTTCCAAACGTGGAAGCTCAAACAGCGCATAATATTATAGATGCCCCTGGGGCCTTATAAAGCTATTTGGAAGAGGTCCATATGAACATTACACTTCTTTATGTGTGGGAAGTGTGAACTATATTTTATATATTTTCACACACCCCCACACACAGAGATTCCATAACGCCTTTGGCTCCTGCATGAAAAGTCTCTGCTCCCTTATAAGACCATAGGAAACTGCCTTAAATGGAGTGAGACTTTTGGTCCATTGAGCTCAGGCTTGCCTACACTGACTGGCAGAGGCTCTCCGGGGTTTCAGACTGGGGACATTCCAAGCCTGGAGGTGCCAGTGGAGATTGATCCGGGGATCTTCTGCATGCAGCGCAGATGCTCTCGCACTGAGCTACAGCCCCAGTTTGTCAGGACTAGAGTTGGGCATAGGTCATCACCTGGTACGCAAGTTGGGACCCTACCTGCCCGCAGACTGATGGCGGCTAATGGATTGAGGTTGAATCCTGACAAGACAGAAGTACTGTTTTTGGGGGACAGGGGGCGGGCTGGTGTGGAGGACTCCCTGGTCCTGAATGGGGTAACTGTGCCCCTGAAGGACTAGGTGCACAGCCTGGGAGTCATTTTGGACTCACAGCTGTCCATGGAGGCGCAGGTCAATTCTGTATCCCGGGCAGCTGTCTACCAACTCCACCTGGCACGCAGGATGAGACCCTACCTGCCCGCGGACTGTCTTGCCAGAGTGGTGCATGCTCTAGTTATCTCCTGCCTGGACTACTGCAATGCGCTCTACATGGGGCTACCTTTGAAGGGGACCCAGAAACTGCAACTAATCCAGAATGTGGCAGCTAGACTGGTGACTGGGAGCGGCCGCCGAGACCACATAACACCGGTCCTGAAACACCAACATTGGCTCCCAGTATGTTTCCAAGCACAGTTCAAGGTGTTGGTGCTGATCTTTAAAGCCCTAAATGGCCTCGGCCCAGTAGACCTGAAGGAGCTTCTCCACCCCCATCGTTCTGCCCGGACACTGAGGTCCAACTCCGAGGGCCTTCTGGCAGTTCCCTCACTGCGAGAAGTGAGGTTGCAGGAAACCAGGCAGAGGGCCTTCTTGGTGGTGGCGCCCTCCCTCCCATCAGATGTCAAGGAAATAAACAACTACAGTGGTGCCCCGCAAGACGAATGCCTCGCAAGACGGAAAACCCACTAGACGAAAGGGTTTTCCGTTTTGGAGGTGCTTCGCAAAACGAATTTCCTATGGGCTTGCTTCGCAAGACGAAAATGTCTTGCGAGTTCCTGCGGGTTTTTTTTCCTTCCCCCCCTTTTTCCCAAGCCGCTAAGCTGCTTATCAGCTGATCCGCTAAGCCGCTAAGCCACTTAACAGCTGATCGCTAAGCCGCTTATCAGCTGATCCGCTAAGCCGCTTATCAGCTGATCCGCTAAGCCGCTTAACAGCTGATCCGTTAAGCCACTAAGCCGCTTATCAGCTGATCTGCTAAGCCGCTTAACAGCTGATCCGTTAAGCCACTAAGCCGCTTATCAGCTGATCCGCTAAGCTGCTTAACAGCTGATCCGTTAAGCCACTAAGCCGCTTATCAGCTGATCCGCTAAGCCCGCTAAGCCGCTAATAGCGCTAATCTGCTAAACCGCTAATGGGCTTGCTTCGCAAGACGAAAAAACCGCAAGACGAAGAGACTCGCGGAACGGATTCTTTTCGTCTTGCGAGGCACCACTGTATCTGACTTTTAGAAGACATCTGAAGGTAGACCTGTTTAGGGAAGTTTCCAATGTTTGATGGTTTATCGTGTTTTTAATATTCTGTTGGGAGCCTCCCGGAGTGGCTGGGGAAACCCAGCCGGATGGACGGGGTACAAATAAATCATCATCATCATCATCATCATCAACAGAACAGTAACTCCCCAAAAATTAAAGGAATATGTTGAGCAAAGATTTTCAGAGCAAAGAGCAGCCACTGTTTAACTGAGCACAGCAATATTGCCTGGCTGACTGAAGGCAGCAACTCAAGACGGCAAGAACGAGGAGGGAAGGAAGGGGGGAAAGCAGACGATTATTAAAAATGTGGTTGTGTCCAACTGGACAATTCTGAAAGGCAGAAATTCAATGCTTTGAGTGGGAATTCAACCAGGATACGGCTTTAAAAACAAATAAACGTGTGCCGAGGGATCTTGGATAACCTCCCTGTACAAATCCAAAGCACTTTGGATGTCAACGGTGTTGGGTCATCTCCAGGCCAGTTGGAGGGCCGACTTTTGGGTTCTCCAATCCCCAAACACAAGCCCTTTTGTTTTGCCACGGCCACAGGTCATTTGTCTGGCAATGGATCTTCCAGATGGAAAAGAGGATACCAAGACAAGACTGTACAGCTGAGGAATGAGGGCAGTAACATGGAGATGGTGGAAACTGCCTTAGATAGAGTCAGATCCTTGGCCTGTCTAGTGCAGCATAAGTCTGTCTATCTACAGTTCCCAGGATTCTTTGGGGGAAGCCATGACTGTAAAAGTGGTATAGCAGTGCTTTAAACTGTAAGGCGTGGCCTCGGTCTCGGCCACAGAGCCTGATTCAGCATGGAAAAATAGGAAACCACCTTACACAATGTCATACTATATTCAACTAGCCAAGCATGGTCTACTCTGACTGGCAGTGGCTCCTAGGATCTCAGGTATCATGGCCTTGAGCTCAGAGGAGGAGGAAACGGAGCCTGTGTTACCTGTTCCACACCTGACCAATAGCTCAGGCAGCATGGCAAGTGGGAGACCACAGTAAATTGAAGAAGTGACTGCGTGTAGGCCAGAAGGTTCGTTCTTAAGAGCCCTAATATTTCGGGTAATTGGGTGGAGCTTAGGAAGAAGGGTCTCATAAGGGCCTCAGCTGACCTCCAGCCTTGGTCAGAGCAACGTGGCTCATGGGGAACTATCCGTGGTGCTGAAACTACTGGGTGGCATGTGCTGAAACCTGCGTGTACCCGGCGCACAACTTTGGACTGATCCAGCAGGACTCTTCTGGATGCACATACAGACCAGACACTCAATGCCCACACGTTTGGACAGGCAGGTGCCCACGCTCACATCCGTTCAGATCCCCCACACTTCTGCCAATCAGCAGAGAAGTGAGAGGGGGTTCTCCCCACCACAGTGCTGCAATTGGATGGGGAAAGCAGGAGAAGGGAAGGCCTCTTCATACTTTTAAAAGCCATTGCATGAAAGTCTTGGCAAACAGAAAGGAGCCCTCCTTCCCTGAGCTCCAAGACTTTCTTCCAAAGGCACAACGGAAGGAAGGGTCCTTTCTAGAGGAAAGAAGAGGTTCCCTGTTTGGGGGACTATAGCTGTTTTGGACACCCAAGCATACCCCAAAGAACCCCATGGGTGAAGAACAAGCAGAAAACATGTTATTATTGTTATTTTAAGAAGACTAAAACTTTTTTTAAAGAAACACTTGGGGACCGGATGCCACCTGCAAACTGTAGATTCTAAGGATGTGCTCTACTCCTGGCCTTTTAGGAATACATTGCTGAATGAGTCAGACTCCACTGAGTCCCTGCTCTGAAGCCCAATGGATTTGCAAAACACAGACCCTTGAATCAACCACTGGCCTGCAGGGTTTTCTGGACACTGGTGCCAAGACTTGTTTCCTGAGTATTTACTGCAGAGAGAAGATTTTAACGACTTTGGCTTAGTGGTGCTGATTTGGAGGGAACTACTAAGCGAGAGGAGGATGAAGAACAGGTTCCACCTGGAGAGCATTTACCTGTCCTGAGTCCCGTGCGATCCCACTTTCTCGTTCTTCATGCAGAAATCAGGAGAGCTTTGCAAATAAACCAGCTCTGTCTCCTTTACTGGGCGGATGTCAAGATCCTTGGGGACTAGATGCTTGCGGGTGCCCATAGGCCGATGCACCACCTTTGTAGCTGAAAGGTATTTGTTTTTTAAATCCAGGGCAATGTCTCTCAGTTCCTGAAGCCCCCTCCAGCAGGTCTTGATCGAACAGGACCCAGATACTCCGTGGCATTTGCATTTCATCTCCAGAGAAGCTTTCAGGGCCTGTAGAAAGAGCAGCACAGGGATTTTGAAGTGACTTTTCCCTTTTGCTCAAATGCTCACCATCATCCCCCAACTGTTGCCGCCCCTCCCAGGGAAAGGCTGAAAGGAGTAAGTGTCCTCACTGTGCTACAATCAAGGCTGTGTGTCTTGGGCACGTGAATGAAACTCATTTGTATATACTGTGTTTTTTGCTCTATAAGACTCACTTTTCCCCTCCTAAAAAGTAAGGGGAAATGTGTGTGCGTCTTATGGAGCGAATGCATGCTGTGCAGCTATCCCAGAAGCCAGAACAGCAAGAGGGATCACTGCTTTAGCTGCGCAGCGATCCCTCTTGCTGTTCTGACTTCTGGGATTCAGAATATTTTTTTTCTTGTTTTCCTCATCCAAAAACTAGGTGCATCTTATGGTCTGGTGCGTCTTATAGGGCGAAAAATACAGTAATTTACATAGGTCTGGGGAAGCATTTCAATTCCGCCCCTGTTTCTCTCTCTTTGCCCCTTGACTCGACCTCCCTGCCCTGCTCCGCCCTCTGCCATCTTGCCCCACTGCCGCAATTTAGATTGTAAGCTCACAGGGGCAAGGACCCACCATTTTTGCTTATGCTACTCTGTTACACCATGAAACAATTCACCCTGCTTTTGCTCCTCGTGAGAAGGCGTACACAGAAACGCATCTCTGAGTCGTGGTGGAGGATGTGGCTCAAACAAACCCATTTACAACTGGAGCTATTTCTTTCTTTTATAATAATAATAATAATAATATACAGAAATGGAATTCAGAGGCATGAAAAGTCACTCCATCTGGAATCTACTAGCCAAAGAGGTTGCTTCATATCATGCCACAGTGAGGATGGCCTCAGTAAGGAGTTGACATGCCCACTCAGGTAAAATGTAAAGGTAAACCCTGGACGGTTAAATCCAGTCAAAGGCAACTATGGGGTTGGGGCGCTCATCTCTGTTTGTCCAAAGACAGCTTTCCGGGTCATGTGGCCAGCATGACTAAACCGCTTCTGGTGCAACGGAACACCGTGATGGAAACCAGAGTGCACCGGAAATTCCATTTTCCTTCCCGCCACAGCGGTACCTATTTATCTACTTGCACTGGCGTGCTTTCTAACTGCTGGGTTGGCAGGAGCTGGGACAGAGCACCACCGAGATTCGAACCGCCAACCTTCTGATTGGCAAGCCCAAGAGGCTCAGTGCTTTAGACCACAGCATCCCACTCAACCAATGGGTAAAATCCCTGGAAATTTTGGTTGCAGTTTTGAATGGGCTTCTGCACTTTTAGAATTCATTTGCACAAATCTTCTACTTTTAGATTCACTTTTCCATCTGTTTTTGTCTATGAAGCCGCCTCTGAAAGTGAGCAGCCAACCACACCAGCTGGTTGCAGAAGGAGAGTTAGTTTAGCAAGCAAGCGCTACGCAGCCTCCATTGTAAGCTGCAAGCCTAAACATCTCCATTCAGGAGTCAAAGTCCTATTGATTTGGGTTAGGGTAGGCAAACTCAGCCAGGCATTTTTGCTTGCTGAGCAAGGGCAGTGGGAGCTAGACCAAAGCAGAACGCTTAGTGGAAACTGGAAAAAAGAATGAATGGCAAGCCATAACATGGATATGCAAGGGAATAACTGAAACATTAAAAGGGACGCGGGTGGCACTGTGGGTTGAACCACAGAGCCTAGGACTTGCCGATCAGAAGGTTGGTGGTTCGAATCCCTGCAACAGGGTGAGCTCCCGTTGCTCAGTCCCTGCTCCTGCCCACCTAGCAGTTCGAAAGCACATCAAAGTGCAAATAGATAAATAGGTACCGCTCTGGCGGGAAGGTAAATGGCGTTTCTGTGCGCTGCTCTGGTTCACTAGAAGCAGCTTAGTCATGCTGGCCACGACCCAGAAGCTGAACACCGGCTCCCTTGGCCAATAAAGCAAGATGAGCGCTGCAACCCCAGAGTCGGTCACGACTGGACCTAATGGTCAGGGGTCCCTTTACCTTTACCTTTAACTGAAACATTAATGGGCACAGAGCAGAGAATGGATGGACTCTCCCAGAAACACCAAAGGGTTGGGACTCAATGAGACCAACAAACTGATTAGCACTGGCTCTCCAGGGTCTCAAACAGGGACCCTGAAGATGGCAAGGACTGAACCTGGTGCCTGTGCTCAACCACAGGCGTGCAGGGGAAGGATTTGGGGAGAGGGCCTTCTTGGTGGAAGCCAGAGAACAGGCCAATATCTCCCTCCTGGAACTCTGCCACGAGTGACCGCAGGAGAAAACATACTGGTGCAATAGGTCTCCTGCCAGTTTCCCTCAATGGTGCCCACAGTCTGCCAGCTGAGGAGTCCACCTCCATTTGCTTCTCAGCAGGGTGATGGCCCAGCCGAAAGCTCTCCCTTTGTACACAGGTTCAGCCCAATTGCTGGTTGAATCCGTACTGGCTTCCAACCCTTTTGTTAACCCCGGACGGCGATTGCATAATGAGAACATCTCTTTTCGGAATTGGTTACCTGTCTCCCTACTTCACTGTTGTGCAGATGCATCAGCTTATTGGCTTGTGATCCTGATTTTTTCATCTTCATGGGAGCATCTGAAAATTTGGACCCCATGACAAGACCATAGTTGAGGTTGTCAGCACATCCTCCCCAGCGATACCCAGGTCCAGGTGTCTCACCTGGGATGGGACCACAGGAGCAGCCAGGGAGGTCCCCGGTGGTGCAGGCTCTGGCGATGGTGTGGCTGATGGCTGCGGCGGAGAGGGCGTACACAAAGGCCGACTCCCTCGTGCCTGCGGAGACAGAAAGGTCGATAGGAATACATTTCCACTGGATTTTCAGTCGGGTAGAAAACAAACGGGAGAGGGAAACAGGGCTCAATGAATAGGAAATCTTGGAAGCTCTTGTGATAATCAGGCTGTCAACCTCTAAAGGTCATCGCTTCTCATCTAGCAAGTACTAAAAGGTAAAGGGCCATTAGGTCCAGTCGTGGCCGACTCTGGGGTTGCGGTGCTCATCTCGCTTTATTGGCCGAGGGAGCCGGCGTACAGCTTCCGGGTCATGTGGCCAGCATGACTAAGCCGCTTCTGGCAAACCAGAGCAGCGCACGGAAACGCCATTTACCTTCCCGCTGGAGCGGTACCTATTTATCTACTTGCACTTTGAGGTGCTTTCGAACTGCTAGGTTGGCAGGAGCAGGGACCGAGCAATGGGAGCTCACTCCGTTGTGGGGATTCAAACCGCCAACCTTCTGATCGGCAAGTCCTAGGCTCTGTGGTTTAACCCACAGCGCCACCCGCGTCCCTTGCCGTGGGCCTGTTACGTACCCACTAAACCAGCCAGCTGTCCTCAGGTGCCCTTGGGGACTGTATTCTGTTGCCAGTGTGGAAGTAAGATTCAACTGTCAGTCCAGTCCGTTCCCATACATGGGGGGGAAGGCATCAACTTGCCATTTAAGAACACAGAGAACTGCTTTATAATGAGTTAGGCCGTTGCTCTCCAAGGTTTGAGGCAGGGGACATGCCAAACCCTACCTGTAGATGCCGAGGATTAAACCAGACACCTTCTGCATACAAAGCAGATGGGGTACCCATAGAGATACATCCAGTCTGTGTTCAACAAAATGCCTTGGAATGGCCCTACATATCAGATATATGAATAATAACAATAACAATAACAATAATAATATTTTTTTTACATCCCGCCCTCCCCAGCCGAAACCAGGCTCAGAGTGGCTAACAACAGTAAAAGTAACACAGTTTACATAAAATCACAATCAATTCATTGAAATACCTTCTAAAATCAATTCATTCTAAAATCAATTCAGAATCAAATTAATGGCAACCAATGGGCTAGAGTTCTGTGAAGAATTACCAAAGGAGGGGGTCAGACTATGCCTTGGCCAAAGGCCTGGTAGAACAGCTCTGTCTTACAGGCCCTGCGGAAAGATGTCAAGTCCCTCAGGGCCCTAGTCTCTTGTGACAGAGTGTTCCACCAGATCGGGGCCACGGCCGAAAAGGCCCTGGCTCTAGTTGAGGCCAGCTTAACCTCCCTGTGGCCCGGGATCTCCAGGGTGTTGTTATTTGCAGACCGTAAGGTCCTCCTTGGGACGTACCAGGAGAGGCGGTCCCATAGCTACGAGGGTCCTAGGCCGTATAGGGCTTTAAAGGTTAAAACCAGCACCTTAAACCTGATCCTGTACTCCACTGGGAGCCAGTGCAGCTGGTATAGGACAGGGTGAATGTGATCCCGTGGCGAGGACCCCATAAGGAGTCTCGCCACGGCATTCTGCACCCGCTGGAGTTTCTGGGTCAGCCTCAAGGGCAGCCCCACGTAGAGTGAGTTACAATAATCAAGTCTGGAGGTGACCGTCATGTGGACCACAATGGCTAGGTCAGGGCGAGAGAGGTAAGACTCTCAGAACATAGGGTGCTGCCTTATAATGAGCCGGACCATTGACTCAGTACTGCCTGTACTGATCGTTCCCAGCCCCACCTGTAAGCTCCAGGGATTGAAGAAGGGAGGTTTTGCATGCAAACCAGGTTCTCTGCCGCTGAGCTACAGCCAGTCTGCAGAATCGAGGCACTAAATGTGTGTTATGCAAATAGCACCCTTTTAAAGGTAAAGGTAAGGTCCATTAGGTCCAGTCATGGCCAACTCTGGGGTTGCGGTGCTCATCTCGCTTTACTGGCCGAGGGAGCTGGCGTACAGCTTCCGGGTCATGTGGCCAGCATGACTAAGCCGCTTCTGGTGAACCAGAGCAGCGCACGGAAACACTGTTTACCTTCCCGCCAGAGCAGTACCTATTTATCTACTTGCACTTTGACGTGCTTTTGAACTACTAGGTTGGCAGGAGCAGGGACCGAGCAACGGGAGCTCACCCCATCGCGGGGATTCGAACCTCCAACCTTCTGATCGGCAAGTCCTAGGCTCTCACAGCACCACCTTACCTCTCTCCAAATCCAGGAGGTAGTTGGGCGCCAGCTCGATGGAGGAGCAATTCCACCGCATGTCGGAGAACGTCTTGCGGCACGTCTTGATCACCTCCCGCGCAGCCTGGATGATGGTTTGCATCAGCTCCAGGTTGCTCCGACACAGCTGGACTTGCGAAACCACCAGCCCTTCCAGCTGCTTGCAGTGCTGTGTCTGGTTCAGGGCTAGAACTGAGGGAGTCTTGAACAAGGCTCTGGGAAGGCGAAGAAAGAAACACACCCGGCCGTCACCATTAGCAATTTTGGCAATCCTCAAAGGTCCCAGAGAAGGAGACTTGGCGCTCCTAGAACCCTGACAGGCGTCCCCATTCGATCCGGCTTTAATGAATTTCATAACCAAGCGCACAGCATCTCGCAGTTGACGGAAACCAGTTCCCAGCTTGCAGCACCCTTCCCCGTTCCCCTAATCCCTATCTGAAAACATCCTAAGTAGTTTGTGCAGCCGTCAGGCTGGACTGAAGTGAACCGTCTCATTCTGTGTCTGTAAGCAGCTCCCCGTTGCCACAGATTTCACATCCCCACTGGGCACAGATCTTTGATTGATTTGCCGTCAACATCCTCAAGTCTCATTCCCGCTATTTAATCCTATCAACAGAGGTGACCCCCATGACTTTCCCAATGATGTTGTGACACTAAGGTAAAGGGGAAGCACCCCTGGACAGTTAAGTCCAATTCGACTATAGGGTGAGCTCTCATCTCGCTTTTCAGGCCAAGGGAGCTGGCCCTCATATCTACGGGACCGCCTCTCCTGGTCTGCCCCGCAGAGGACTTTAAGGTCTATGAATAACCATAGTTTAGAGGTCCCAGGCCATAAGGAAGTCAGACTATCCTCCACCAGGGCCAGGGCCTTCTCAGTGATGGCTCCGACCTGGTGGAATGCTCTGTCCCATGAGACTAGGGCCCTTCAGGATTTAACTCCCTTCCATCAGGCCTGTAAGACAGAGCTATTCCGCCTGACCTTTAATTTTAATTCAGCCTGATCTTTTATTTCCCTTCTCTTCCCTTCCCTTTTATGAAGATCACCCGCTCTGAGACCCCACAGCTAATTCTCCCCTGGCCTCCTCGCTGGCCCAAGTAGGACCAATTCAGCCAGCTAGCCCTGGGGATTATCTAATTGATTTTTTATTTTTGAATTTTATTGTCATTCATGTTTTTATACTGTATTTTATGCTACCATTATAATTAAGTGTTTTAAATTTGTTGTTAGCCGCCCTGAGCCCAGTTTCTGAACTGGGAAGAGCGGGGTATAAATAAAATTTTATTATTGTTGCTGTTGTTGTTATTTGTCCACAGACAAAGAGGCTCAGTGGTTTAGACCACAGCGCTACCAACATCCCCACATTGTGACACTATGCCCGATGATATGGGATGGTCTTACAGATGATTATAGGTTATAGGTAACAACCGGTGTCAGCCCAAGAAATTTTGCTGACTGAGGCAAGGTATAGTGATTATATATAGTGACCTTCGGAGATCAGGGTTCAAATCCCCACTTGGCCATGAGGTTCTCTGGGTGACGTAGGGCCAGTCATCACCTCTCAGCCTAACAACCTCACAAGGTTGTTGTGGGGATTAGCTGAGGTGGGGCAGAACCATGTATGTCACCTTGAGCTCCTTGGAGGAACAGGTGGGATAAAAATGTAGTTAATAAGGAAATGCATACATTAAAAGGGCCATGGAATCATCACCTGCACCAGAATAAAGCCCCTTTCAGTGGACTGATGGTTGTTGTGAGATTCCACAACAAGCCCTAAACAGCCTCAGCCCCATATACCTGAAGGAGCATCTCCACCCCCATTGTTCTGCCTGGACACTGAGGTCCAGTGCCGAGGGCCTTCTGGTGGTTCCCTCCCTGAGAGAAGCTAAGTTACAGGGAACCAGGCAGAGGGCCTTCTCGGTAGTGGCGCCCGCCCTGTGGAACACCCTCCCATCAGATGTCAAGGAAATAAGCAACTGTCTTTTAGAAGACATCTGAAGGCAGCCCTGTTTAGGGAAGTTTTTAATGTCTGATGCTTTAATGTGTTTTTAATCTCCTGTTGGAAGCCACCCAGAGTGGCTGGGGAAACCCAGCCAGATGGGCGGGGTATAAGTAATAAATTGTTGTTGTTGTTGTTGTTGTTGTTGTTGTTGTTGTTGTTGTTGTTTGAACCCTGGATTTCCTGGCACCGGACTTTTCACTGCTAACCCACACAGGTGTCTGGAGATTCAGTCATTCACTCATAAGGTAAAGGGACCCCTGACCATTAGGTCCAGTTGTGACCGCATCTGGGGTTGCGGCACTCATGTTGCTTTATTGGCCGAGGGAGCCAGCGTACAGCTTCCAGGTCATGTGGCCAGCATGACTAAGCCGCTTCTGGCGAACCAGAGCAATGCATGGAAACGCCGTTTACCTTGCCGCCAGAGCGGTACCTATTTATCTACTTGCACTTTGACGTGCTTTCAAACTGCTAGGTGGGCAGGAGCAGGGACCAAGCAATGGGAGCTCACCCCATCATGGGGATTCGAACTGCTGACCTTCTGATCAGCAAGTCCTAGGCTCTGTGGTTTAACCCACAGCGCCACCCGCATCCCTCATTCACTCATACATTACTCTTAAAAGCTGCACTGCTTTTGAGTGAAAGTGGAGACGGAATGCCTAGAAAATAATAAAAAAATAGGAAGGGTTGCTAGAGAGACAGGTAAAAACTCGCTTCGTGGAGCACAAAAGGCCCACAGTTGACCATGTTGGGCCGAGAAGACGGTGTTTTGTCTCCATGTTGCAGCTGGAAATCTGAGGGGTAAACGGAAGGGAAGCGGACATTTTGGAAAGGATTCTATCCCAGCCACCCAGCCAGGTCAGGCTGAAACACAAAGAGCTACTTCCCGTGCAGCTTTTATCATCTAGCTGGCGTGGCCGTAAACCGTTCTCCTTTTGCTCATTAAAAGTCTTTTACAGCTCACAGCTGGAGAATGACCCTCTCACAGTTCGGTGACGGCCACGGCTCAAAAGGAAGGTCCACCTCTAGCTGCGCTAACATGACACTTGCGCCTCGCCTCGGTTTCTCCGTGTGCCATCTTGAGACCCTGAGGTGAATACCCTTTGGTCGCTAATGGACACGTTTTATGGGTGTGATTTATTCCCTGCCACCGGCAAATGGCTACTTTGCCGACTCTCTTAAAGAGCTGGATTAGAGGCGGGCTTGGAACCAGATGCTTTGATCAGGGGAACCCTTATCCGGAGCCGCCTCTGAGGAGTTTGAACCCGCGCCATGTGAGGCTTTTACCTCAGCAATGGGCTTAGCCATTAGTCACCACCCACCCCTTCAAAGCCTTCTCCGGCTCTGAACTTTGAAAGTTTGGTTTGGCAAATGGGACGGCCGAGACTGCCAGATCTGACTGAAAAGCAAGGGGAAAGGAAACGCTCCAGAATGTTCTGGAAGCGCATGTAAGGATGGGAAGGGGACTTTGATGCCCACAAAGCTGCTGACGGGATGTAGCCTGGGCCTATCCTTTCGTGCTTTTTTTTGTTTGTTTTTAAACTGTTTTAACTGTTTAGCTGTTTCTAATTTATCTGTAAGCTTCCTTGAGTCCCTGTCAGGAGGGGAGCCAGGATAACAACAACAAGAAGTAGTATTTTTAATACTGCTTTTCAATACTAATTTTACAGAGCTGTTTACAGCATAAGAACATGATAATGTGACTATTTAAGCCAATAAAATAAAATGACAGGAGGAGCTGATTAAAAATGAGGTTCAGTCAGGTAGAAGTTTATCAGAAAGCTGCCTCGAAAGCTAGACAAATCGGGTCCTCCCTTAAGGAGGGCATGTGTTGCGGTGAGACCTGGCAACCTAACCCTGTGTTGTGGTGGGTACGTTTGGATAGCCACAACACCCGATTGGTAGGTCCCTTGATGCAGGGTTCAATCAGGCCAATGGGACGCAGTCCAAATGGTTTCGAGGGACCTATTTATGCCCATGCATGTGACCCAGAGCTTCCTCTTTCAGCGCATGCATCCGGAACACCTGCCCACCTCTCCCTCCTTTTAGGGCTTTGCGCTTGACCTTGCTATGCTGTTGTGTGTTGTCTTTCATTGGGACAGGGGCACGGCAGGAATTTCCCCCACTTGGCTGATTGGCTGTTGCCATTTCACCTGCCGCGTAGCAAATAATCACAACTTGTAAGGTTGCGGATAGGCTCTGGTTCAGGTGATAGGGATGGGAGAACGCTCTCACCATCCCTATATGAAGGGTATTCCGTTAAAGGAATCCAGGGACTCAATAGTTTGGTCAACCCCTGAGAGGGGGTTGTGCCCGTGGCTGAGTCCAGGGGACATATGTGTGTTGCGGAGAAAGCCTGTTCCCGGCTTTCCACTTATCCAGGTGTTCACCCTTGGCTGACCTATGCTGGTGCCACGGGTCAGCGCTACCTGCTTGGCAGGGAGCTAGTCGAACCAGAGCCTATGCAACCAGTCCTGGTCTGGAGAAAGAAAAAACGTTTGTGCAGAACAGCATACTACAAATGGTGGCATTTAACACTCTCAAGCATTCTGTGAAAGGAGCTTATAAACTGGCAACTGTTTTCATCAGCGAAACGCGTTAAAGAGCACTTCGTTATAACTTGGTTATAACTTTTGTGCGTTAAAACTTTAACAGGACGGTGAATTCCGGTAGAGTAAGGGAGGATTTGTGAGACGGCGGAAAGCGAGACATTTCAAAATGTGGAATCAAAGAGAGGAATTCGGTTAACTCTTAGGCGGGGCTGTTTCTCATAGAGTCAGTCACACTCTAAAGAGCCGACCGTGACGGATAAATATAGTTTCTGATCGTCTTTCACGTTTGAACCTCTTGCTTTAAAGCTTCGTAATTGGAAACATCTCTGTGGGTGAATCGGGAGAGAGGCAGAAAAATTACGAGGGTTCTGGCTGGAGTTTCTTAGAGTACAGCACGGCCAATCTGCCTTATGCGTTGGCACTGCAGTCTGGAGCTTGTTTTCAGCTTCTCCCGCCTCTGAAGTACCCGGTTCTGTTTTCAAGTTGTGCTGACGCATTAGGGAACCCTCCACTGTTATATTTATGGGATATTAAGTTTGTGCAGATATGGGGCCAGAGAATCAAAATGGAGAGGTGGGAACTGAACATACCAAGGGCAGAATTTCCTTATAGTGGCCAGGTTGTTCTGATGCTCGATATCTTTTAGACGTTGACCAATTAGACTGTTTGCTTTAGTGGGGCCCATAGTGAGTAGGTGTTGTGGGGACAGGCCACAAGAGTGAAGTTTTTGATAAGATGGTTTTAAGCCAGGCACTTTTATGGGAGTCTTGAAGTACTAGGGATAGTAAACCGGGGGGGGGGGGGGATTTGAGTTTATTTCTGGTTTTGTGCATCATCATGGCTAGCAGTCTCAGTGGTTGTGTCTTGACTCCCAGTGTCTGGGGTGTATGTCTTTGAACATCAGTTGGTGGGAATCAAATATGGGGAGAAAGATCCTGTTTGTAGGAGGAGTTTGGATTTGATATCCCGCTTTATCACTACCCGAAGGAGTCTCAAAGCGGCTAACATTCTCCTTTCCCTTCCTCCCCCACAACAAACACTCTGTGAGGTGAGTGGGGCTGAGAGACTTCAGAGAAGTGTGAATAGCCCAAGGTCACCCAGCAGCTGCATGTGGAGGAGCGGAGACGCGAACCCGGTTCCCCAGATTACGAGTCTATCGCTCTTAATCACTACACCACACTGGCTCTCTGTTTGTAGGCTTAAGAACAAAGGAAGAGCCCGCTGGATCAGGCCAATGGCCCATCTAGTCCAGAATCCTGTTCTCACAGTAGCCAACCAGGTACAAAACAGATATTCCACCACAAAGCTACAGCAACCATTCTCTTGGATATGTGTTATGTAGGGATCTCAGTTTGGGCAATCAACTTCCAACCTCCAGGGGTTTCCTGGTTATAAAAGGGGAAGTCATAGAGAAATTCAGAGAAGTTTTCAAATTGGAAGACAAGCGAACTAATACCAGTGTACTGGAAGAAGCAAAGATCACCCGTGTTGAGGCAATGATTTGCACGCAAAGCAGATGTTCTGCCACTGAACTCTTGCTCTTCCCTGACATGGGCTTGCAAGCTTGCTGGATTTAGCTTTCATGAGGCCCTAAGCTACTGAAAGTAATGGGGCCCTTTATATGTCCAGCGGTCCTTTGTCAACAACAAATGGTCATTGTTTTTTGTGTTGAATAAATGCTATATGGTAATTTATGAACCTAATAGGTATCTCAAGCCATTTGCACATGTTGCCATGCAAGCAGTCCATACAGAATGTAGGCACCCTATATATAGAAAGGAGCAAACCAGTGATCTTTTAGGGAGCAGGCTAGCAGGTGGGGCCCATGACTTACATCATAGGAGCCTACACAACACAAAACACTGTTGCTGCATGTAGGTTTTATTTTACTTGTTTTTATCTTATATTTTGGAAATGTATATCCAGTTTTTCCCCTCTAATTTTTTTTGGGGGCCCCAAGAGAGTGGGGCCCTAAGCTATAGCTTGCTTAGCTTATACGTAAATCCAGCACTGCTTATACCCTCCTATTAGGCAAAATTTCCTGAGCTACAGTTCTCCCTGCCTGAGATCTTGAACAGAGCTGGGGTTTTTTATTCTTCTCTTTCTAAAAAAAAAAAGTTATTACCACTCTTCAGGCCTTCCCCTGATAATATAAACAAGTGTCAAATCCGATTTATACCGAGTTGATGAGGCTTTCAAATAGTGTTAGGGATACTGTCAGAAAAGCATACGCCTGATTGCCACAGACTCCCAGTCCAGGCGCATATTGCGGGGTTTGTCAGCTTACGTAATTAGCTTGGGCAGGCTGAACACATTCACTCAGAAGCAGGAATAAGGTATAGCAGGTAACATGGTACCAGACCTTCTCCAGCTCTTTGAGTCTCTAATCCTCTGGAGAGAATTTTCCTGACTCTAGAAAACTGGAGGCTCTGGTTGCATAAATAAGCGCTGAACTACATACTAAGGATTATCACGCGGTGCAACCTTTCCAGGGACAGTGAAGCAGCATCACTGGCCAGGTCAAAGATTTGTAGGCCCCCAAATGTCTGTAGCGAAGGGGAACAGAGTAGCTTCCTGGCTCTAAGCCTGATGATGACCCTCCAGGGACAGTCCGGGATTTACAGAAGCTGTCCCAGTTTCTGACTTGATCCCAGAATGTCCCGCTTTTCCTTAGGACGTCCCTATTTTCATCAGAGAAATGTTGGACGGTATGGAGTTATGCGGCCCCCGATCCAATAACTATACAACCTTTAGGAAATGTTTGAAGGCAGCCCTGGTCTAGGGAAGTTGTTTAATGCCAAAGTGGTGCATGCTCTAGTTATCTCCCGCTTTGACTACTGCAATGCGCTCTACATCTCCATCCCCATCGTTCAGCCCAGACACTGAGGTCCAGCACCGAGGGCCTTCTGGCGGTTCCCTCATTGTGAGAAGTGAAGCTACAGGGAACCAGGCAGAGGGCCTTCTCGGTGGTGGCGCCTGCCCTGTGGAACGCCCTCCTAGCAGATGTCAAGGCAATAAACACCTATTTTACTTTTAAAAGACAACTGAAGGCAGCCCTGTTTAGGGAAGTTTTTTATGTCTGATGCTGTATTGTTTTTAATATTCAGTTGGAAGCCACCCAGAGTGGCTGGGGAAGCAGAGCCAGATGGGCGGGGTATAAATAATAAATTATTATTATTATATATGTTGGAAGCCAACCAGAGTGGCTAGCGCTAACCCAGTCAGATGGGAGGGGTATAAATAAAATAAAATAATAGGATATTGTACCTGCCCTTCACCATAAGGTCACAAGGCAGGCTAAAACAATAGAACATACAATTATTTGTGTGGTTGTTGTTGTTTTTTTAATTAAATCATTACTGTTCTAAAACAGTACACCCTTGGGTGTAAGCCCCAAGGGTGGGCCCCACAAAACCTTAACTGCCAAAGGCCAGGGCAAAGTGATACAACTTCAGCATAGGGAAGAAGCTGTACTATGAGGATGCTAGAAGAAGCTCTGTAGGGTGGGAGACCCCACAGTTCAGGGGCTGCTGCAGAGAAAGCACCGTCCCAGGCTGCCAGTCCCTGAACTTTAGAGAATGGTGGAACTATCAACAGAGCTCCTTCTGCAGAGCTTAGCGCCCAAGAAGGTTGGTAAGAGTGGAGATGGTCTTTCAGATATTTTGTGCCTAAGTTCTTAGAGCTTTAAGAGACCCAAGACCCAAGGTCCTAAGAGAGGTGAGCTGCAAAGTAGAGGCTCAAAGGCACTTAGTTCAACAACAGCCTTCCTTGGAGCACGTTGCTCACTGGGATCTCTCCATGGTGCTGAAATAACCAACCAGCCTTGCTCCATGGGATCCTGCGTGGAACCAAAACAGGACAGCTGTGATAATGCTCCGTCATGTATATCATCACCATCATCATCATCATCTTGTTTACACATGCAGAACTAATGCATATTAGCCTAGGAATCCCTCTCATTTTGGAATGATTGAACTGGATGGAGATTATTTAATTTGATATCCAAGCATTTTGAAACAAATCAATTGAGGAATGAATGGGAATGGTTTTCCTTATTTCCACTACAGTGGTACCTCTGGTTAAGAACTTAATTCGATCTGGAGGTCCGTTCTTAACCTGAAACTGTTCTTAACCTGAGGTACCACTTTAGCTAATGGGGCCTCCTGCTGCTGCCGCGCAATTTCTGTTCTCACCCTGAAGCAAAGTTCTTAACCCAAGGTACTATTTCTGGGTTAGCAGACTCTGTAACCTGAAGCGTCTGTAACCCAAGGTACCACTGTACAGTCATACCTCGGGTTACAGAGGCTTCAGGTTGCGTTTTTTCAGGTTACAGACCCGCCGAAACCTGGAAGTAGCGGAACGGGTTACTAACTGAATTTCAGGAGTCGAGCATGCGCAGAAGCGCTAAATTGTGCTTTGCGCATGCACAGAAGCGCCGAATCGCAACCTGTGCATGCGCAGACGCAGTGGCCAACCAGATACCATTATGACGCAGGGGGGAGGGTGATGGTAAATAGAAGTGGAACACACACACCCCCGGTCCCTCAAGAATGTCGTAGGATGATGCAACCTCTGGGACATTCTGGCTTTTAAACTGGTAGCTACCAGAAAGATCTGCCAAAGCAAACTGTGCTGGCAGTGGCAATGCAAGGAGGGGAGGACACACAGGGAAACAATTGCAAGCTAACAAAACAAATCTAAGTGCGACAACTGAATAATGAAACAAATGTGATTGTAACAAAGACAAACAAAAGAAGTATTGAAGAACAAAACAAGCGCAGCAATGAAATTAAAAACTTCTTGTTTTGCATCCCTAACGCCTGACACGCTAACTATCCACAGGCAGAGTATTTCATTGACTTCCAACATTTCACAGGCCAAATCAGGAACACACACTTGTCATCATGCCTTAGATCTTACAGCCAAGGGTCATTGCCAAACTCGATACACACACAGAGAGAGAGGGGGTACACATGTACCACAATTCATGTGTCAGTTGTTGTTGTTGTTTAGTCGTTTAGTCGTGTCCGACTCTTCGTGACCCCCTGGACCCCCAGAGCACGCCAGGCACTCCTGTCTTCCACTGCCTCCCGCAGTTTGGTCAAACTCATGCTGGTAGCTTTGAGAACACTGTCCCACCATCTCATCCCCTGTCCTCCCCTTCTCCTTGTGCCCTCCATCTTTCCCAACATCAGGGTCTTTTCCAGGGAGTCTTCTCTTCTCATGAGGTGGCCAAAGTCTTGGAGCCTCAGCTTCACGATCTGTCCTTCCAGGGAGCCACGTGTCAGTAACCTCATGATTAGACTACTGCAATGTGCTGGTAGTTGAGTAGTACACCTGGTCATGTAGACATCACACTTCTGTTAAGGCAGGGATGTCCAGCAGGTCGATCGGGATCAACTGGTCAATCCCTGGGAGGTTCTGGTCAACCGCGGTCGACTGCAGGCTCCTTTTCCATTGCGGTGGCGTAAGAGCATCGGGCCCCAGCCCCTTGCCCCGTCCTCCATTTTCTCATGCTCACTGGAACGGAAGAGGGAGCTTTCGCTGTGAGGTAGATTGTTTCCTAATCGATCTTTTGGTGAGCGATTTTTCTTCTTTCCCCTTTCCTCATTCTTTACATATTTCTCTCAACAACCTGGCTTTCCTCCCTTACAAAAGCTCAACAAGTTTGACCTGAACCCCCCCACCCCAAATGGAACTTTTCTCCCTAAAAAAAACCCCCCAAAGGGGTAGATCACTGCCAGTTTCTTACAGTGGTACCTCGGGTTAAGTACTTAATTCGTTCCTGAAACTGTTCTTAAACTGAAGCACCACTTTAGCTAATGGGGCCTCCAGCTGCCGCCGCGCTGCCGGAGCACGATTTCTGTTCTCATCCTGAAGCAAAGTTCTTAACCCGAGGTACTATTTCTGGGTTAGCAGAGTCTGTAACCTGAAGTGTATGTAACCCGAGGTACCACTGTATTCTGTGAATAGATCACAGTCTCTTGGGAGTTAGATGTCCCTGTACTAAAAGAACTGCACCGGCAACCAATGAGCTATCAGGCTATGTTCAAGGTTTTGTTGTAACCTATGAGGCTCAGCAGGGACACGAGTGGTGCTGTGGGTTAAATCACTGAGCCTAGGACTTGCCAATCAGAAGGTCGGCGGTTCGAATCCCCGCAACGGGGTGAGCTCCGGTTGCTCGGTCCCAGCTCCTGCCAACCTTGCAGTTCGAAAGCATGTCAAAGTGCAAGTAGATAAATAGGTACCACTCCAGTGGGAAGTTAAACGGCATTTCCGTGCGCTGCTCTGGTTTTGCCAGAAGCGGCTTAGTCACATGACCCGGAAGCTGTACACCAGCTCCCTCGGCCAATAAAGCTAGATGAGCGCCGCAACCCCAGAGTCGTCCGCGACTGGACCTAACAGTCAGGGGTCCCTTTACCTTTACCTATGAGGCTCAGCACCAGGTTGCCGGAAGGATCACCTGGATATACCTGGATCATCTGGGAAAATAACACCACACCTTACAGAGTGTCTCAAGGAGGCCCAAGCTGGCCTTTTCCACCATGGCCCCTGAACTCTGAAAAGGCGTTCCTTTTGCCATTAAGGAAGCATCAGCCCTCAGCTGCTTCAGATGTTCTGTAAAGGCAGTTCCAATGAATGCCTTGCCCTCAAGAGGGAGGCTGCCTGTCACCTCTCTGCATGAAGAACTCTTAGTTTTGTATTGGATTGCAACTTTTGTGGCTTGCCCTGCAGAGGGAGGCTGCCCGTCACCTGTCTGCATGAAGAACTCTTAGTTTTGTATTGGATTGCAACTTTTGTGGCTTGCCCTGCAGAGGGAGGCTGCCCGTCGCCTCTCTGCATGAAGAACTCTTAGTTTTGTATTGGATTGCAACTTTTGTGGCTTGCCCTGCAGAGGGAGGCTGCCCGTCGCCTCTCTGCATGAAGAACTCTTAGTTTTGTATTGGATTGCAACTTTTGTGGCTTGCCCTGCAGAGGGAGGCTGCCCGTCGCCTCTCTGCATGGAGAACTCTTAGTTTTGTATTGGATTGCAACTTTTGTGGCTTGCCCTGCAGAGGGAGGCTGCCCGTCGCCTCTCTGCGTGAAAACCTCTTAGCACTGTGCTTTATTGCAGCTTTTGTCTTCTGGGCGCAGCTTTCCCAGGGCAACCATTTAGTGTGGGGAGAGGAAGAAAAATGCCTGGGAAGCAATTGCCAGCTCCCCCAGGAGCCCTGCATTCAGAGAAGCCAAAAAGACTGTGGGTTAGCCAACCCAAACTGAAATGTGTGAACAAGGTCTGAGTCAACAATATGTGTCGCCCCGCTCTCACTCTCTCCTTGGCACGCGGCTTGGATTTTTCAGCAGGGAAATATCAGAAGAGCAGCCAGCCTTTAACAAACAACGACGATGTTTGCCCGCTGGACAGGAAAGAAAGGGAAGGAGTTGGATGCCCTGGCCTTGTCGACTTGCAAAGGGAACGCACAGAGCAAGACAATGATCTTTGCGCAACGAGCCAGCACTGCAGGCTTCCCACCCCATTACTCAGGAGTAAGCTCACCGGAGGCAGCAGAGCTTCAGAGCAGCGACCCAAAGACTGCAGGCTAAACAAGTCAAATATAAAATATTACGTGCCGCCGAATGAGGCTCAGCCAACTCCTCTCTGGGCATTGGCAGCCACTGCTTTGTTGAATTCAAATAGGAAACCCGCCTTGAAGTTCATGCCAGCTGCGAGAGTTTGGCTCAGTGAGCGCATAGGGAGGCCAGCATGTTCGGGGACATTTGTCAGCTTTTGTTTGGTGTGGTCAGCCCCAAAGGCCGTGTGAAGCTGCCTCCCACCGGGTCAGATCATTAGCCCATCTGTGCAACATCCCTCCAAGTCTCAGAGAGATCTGCTATCTGGGATCCCTGATTGTTTGGAACCCCCATATCCAGGGATCCTGGTCAGGGAATTTTTTTAGTGTTTGATGCGGCATCGTTTTTTGTTGGGAGCTGCCTAGAGTGGCTGGGGCAACCCAGTCAGATGGGCAACATTTATTATTATTATTATTATTATTATTATTATTATTATTATTATTACAGTGGTACCTCTAGTTGCGGACATGATCCGTTCTGGGGTGCTGTTTGCACCCTGAAAAGTCCGCAACTAGAGCGGCGCTTCTGTGCAAGCGCGGAGCGTGATAGAGTACTTCTGCGCATGTGCAAAGTGTGCAGAATGCTTCTGCGCATGCACGAAGCAGGCAGAATGCTTCTGCGCATGCGCACACTGCAAAACCCAGAAGTACAGTGGTGCCTCGCAAGATAAAATTAATCCGTTCCGCGAGTCTCTTTGTCTTGTGGTTCTTTCATCTTGCGAAGCACGGCTATTAGCGGCTTAGCAGCTTAGTGGCTATTAGCGGCTTAGCGGCTATTAACGGCTTAGCGGCTTAGCGGCTATTAATGGCTTAGCGGCTTAGCGGCTTTAAGAAAAAGGAAACAAACTCGCAAGAACTCGCAAGACGTTTCGGCTTGCAAAGCAAGCCCATAGGGAAATTCGTCTTGCGGAACAACTCAAAAAACGGAAAACTCTTTCGTCTTGCGCGTTTTTCGTCTTGTGAGGCATTCATCTTGTGGGGCACCACTGTATACACTTCCGGGTTTGCCGCGTTTGCAATCGGAAAAGCTGCAACGTGAACCAAACGCAACAAGAGGTATGATATTATTATTATTATTATTATTATTGAATGTGCAAAGTTGTCCTAAAGTAAGTGAGATTAGTGGTTCATCGAGGCCAGTTTTCGCTTTCTCGGACTGCCAGACGTTCTCCAAGGCCTCAGGAAGAGCGAGAGGCCTTCCTGAGCAATGCTAGCTGAGATTCCTGGCTGCAGTGTTGCCTCTCAATGAGTGAGATTCCGGTTCCACCCACATATCAAAAGGGAGTGTGGTGTAGTGGTTAAAGCTTCAGACTAGGACCTGGGAAACCAGGGGTTGAAGCTCACTTGGGCTAGTCCCTGCTTCCTAATCTGACCTCCCTCACAGGGTTGTTGTGAGGGTAATACATGGGGGCGGAGAACCACGAACACCACCTTTAGATCACTGAAGGAAAAGGCGGCATATAAAAGCAACAGATCAAAAAACCAATAAAACATTGTCAGAACACCACTGCCCAAAATACCATGGGCATTATTCTTAAAAATAAGACCATGGCCACAACAGAAATCTGCTGGTAGGAGATATGTATTTTTCACCTTTTTCCCCCTTTAATTTTCCCCTTGCTTGGTACCAATTAATGTTTTTTTAAAAAAGGATACCCTTCGTGTCCGTACTGCCAGCAACTCCCCCTAGTGGACATCTTTAAAAAGCCATTTCCCAACTCCTCGTAATCTATTTCTTCCACAAACCGGCAGACATTACAGAACTGGAGGCCTGATCCTAGGCGTGCAAACCTACAAGCAGGTCAAATGAATTCCAGTGGTGTTATTCCCCAAAATAAGGCTGTGGAAGGGCTGCAGCTGGAGAGTAAGATCAAATCAGAAGATATTCCGTTCACGCTCTCTTACTTGCCCCCCGCCCTAATAGTTTATTCAAGTTGGCATCCCTGCCTGCCTCCAGTTTGGGCTCCCCTAACAGTTCAGCGGGTAGGCGCTGTGGGTTAAACCACAGAGCCTTGGGCTTGCCGATCAGAAGGTCGGCGGTTCGAATCCCCACGGCGGGGTGAGCTCCCGTTGCTCGGTCCCTGCTCCTGCCAACCTAGCAGCTCGAAAGCACGTCAAAGTGCAAGTAGATAAATAGGTACAGCTCTGGCGGGAAGGTAAACGGCGTTTCCGTGCGCTGCTCTGGTTTGCCAGAAGCGGCTTAGTCCTGCTGGCCACATGACCCGGAAGCTGTACGCCAGCTCCCTTGGCCAATAAAGCGAGATGAGCGCCGCAACCCCAGAGTCGGCCACGACTGGACTTAATGGTCAGGGGTCCCTTTTACCTTTACCTTATAGCTATTGTGAAGATGATACCTTCACCCCAGTATGGCTCCCCTTCATCACATACACAGCCCAACAAGACGACGACAAGAATCCACCAACAGCATATGAATCAATATGGCTAACCTGATTCCAAAACACCCACCCACCCCACTCACACACGAAAACAAAGTTCAACACAGCCAACCACAAACAAGTCCTGGGCCAACTCCAATTTCTCTCACCACCAAAGGGACACAAGCGAATAGCAAAGAGAACCTGCACAAACGACACTGACACAAAACCCCACACGTACATTAAGCAAAATAGAAACATCGCCTCCCGACCCCACCCCCACGCATGATGGCCCCCTCTACCTCTTCTCCCCTTTTTTCTTCCTAAAGGTAAAGGACCCCTGACCATTAGGTCCAGTCGTGGCCGACTCTGGGGTTGCGGCGCTCATCTCGCTTTATTGGCCGAGGGAGCTGGCGTACAGCTTCCGGGTCATGTGGCCGTATGACTAAACCGCTTCTGGTGAACCAGGGCAGCGCACGGAAATGGCATTTACCTTCCCACCAGAGTGGTGCCTATTTATCTATTTGCACTGCATGCTTTCGAACTGCTAGGTTGGCAGGAGCTGGGACCGAGCAATGGGAGCTCACCCCATCGCGGGGATTCGAACCGCCGACCTTTTGATCAGCAAGTCCTAGGATCTGTGATTTAACCCTTCTTCCTAATGTAACCCTAATGTCTCAGCAAATGAAACTGACCTGTGGAAAATGTAACTTGAAAAAAGAGACATTGCGCATACCTTTGTAAACCAAGAAAACTTTAATAAAATATTTTTTTAAAAAAATTATGGCTATTGTTATCACTATGGTTCTTTAGACTGAGAGGTGATGCGATAGCTATCTTCAGATACTGGAAGGGAACAGATGCAGAGAATCATAGCATTGTAGAGGTGGGAGGGACCCGAGGGTCATCTAGTCCAACCCTCTACAATGCAGGAATCTCAGCTAAAGCATCCAAGAGAAATGGCCATCCAACCTCTGCTTAAAAACTTCAAATGAATGAGAATCCACCACCTCTAGTGGGAGTCTGTTCCACTGTCTAACAGCTCTTACTGTCAGAAAGTTATTCCTGATGTTTAGTCAGAATCTCCTTTGTTGTAAAACTTGAAGCCATGGGTTCGAGTCCCACCTTCCAGAGCAGGAGAAAACAAGCTTTCTCCCTCTTCCATGTGACAGCCCTTGAGATATTGGATGATGGCTATCCTATCTCCTCTCAGACTCCTCTTTTCCATGCTAAACATCGCCAGCTCCTTCAACCATTCCTCATAAGGCTTGGTTTCCTGACCCTTGGTCATCTTAAGACTCCCTCAAGAGCTTCTGGGCTCTCCTTCCTTGAAGGTTTTCAGACAGAAGTTGGACGGCCATCTGTCATGGGTGCCTTAGTTTATATGCCTGCATTTCAGGGGGTCAGACTAGAAGACCCAACTCTACAATTTTGCGGTTCAACTTCCTACAAGCTGCTTTGAAGACAAATACAAAGAAAATAGGACTAGGACTCACGCTGGAAGGGGGGAGAAATGGAAAATCTGGAGTGAGGAAGAGAAATAGAATGGAGCCACTGGAATCTTGAGCAGCTGCGCTCCACATGCCAACATTTCGGCTGCGTACGACACCAAACCGTTAAATCACCATTTGAAGCACATGATTCCGGTGCCCTGCAAGAATCCTGGGAGCTGTAGTTTAACCCACAAAGAGCTACTATCCCCAGCACCCTTAAGCAAGCTACAGTTCCCAAGATTCTTTTGGGAGGGAGTTCTGTTCTTTCAATGGGCTCTAAATGTCTGGATGAGCTGAAGAGACCCACATGTGGGTGCTACGATGTCTGATCGCACAACGAATTTCACTCTTTCCATTTTAACGCGGCAGATACTCAAAAAGGCGTTCAGCAGCCGTTTCCATCTGGTAGGAAGCATGATCCTGGCATGTGGCAGCCGTGTGTGCTGGAGGAGACTCTTGAGAGTCCCATGGACTGCAAGAAGATCAAAGCGATCCATTTTTAAGGAAATCAGCCCTGAGTGCTCACTGGAAGGACAGATCCTGAAGCTGAGGCTCCAAGACTTTGGCCACCTCATGAGAAGAGAAGACTCCCTGGAAAAGACCCTGATGTTGGGAAAGATGGAGGGCACAAGGAGAAGCGGACGATGGAGGACGAGATGGTTGGACAGTGTTCTCGAAGCTACCAGCGTGAGTTTGTCCAAACTGCGGGAGGCAGTGGAAGACAGGAGTGCCTGGCGTGCTCTGGTCCATGGGGTCACGAAGAGTCGGACACGACTAAACGACTAAACAACAACATCATGTTACGAGCAAGACGTGCCTCCCCTTTCCAAGCCAAGCCAGCGATTTAACCCTCAGCGATCCCAGGGAAAGGGATGGCCTGGAATATTAGAATTGCAGAGTTGGAAGGGGCCTTGAGGGTCATCTAGACCAACCCCCTGCAATGCAGGAATCTTTTGCCCAACGTGGGGCTCAAACCCACGTGCCTGAGATTCAGAGTCTCATGCTCTACCAACTGAGCTATCCCCACCCACCCAGATGACTCTACAGCAAATCTGAACACCCTAACACATTTTTAAAAGACATTGGGTGGTGACCCAGCTAAGACAGGGATGGGAGCTTCCAGCCCAGGGTTCAAGAGCAGCCTTCCCATGCTGTCTATCCAGCCTCTGAGACTTTTTCTCAGGCCAACTTGAAGCTCCACTGGTGACCTTTTCAGTCCAAGTCTGGTTCAGAGATTAAAAAAACCAGGAGTCTGTGGCACCCGGTTAGTAGATTGAACATGAACACAGGCAATTTGGTTCCTTCTCCACTAGGGGGAAATGCATTGCATTTCTATTTAATTTATAGTTATTAATCCTATATTTGTGTCTATATGCATACATTACCATGTGTAAATCTTATGCAAATAGGTGTCCTCTTTTCTCCATAACTCACCACACTAGGACAAACTCGCAGGCAGGGCCGGATTTAGTTTTGATGAGGCCCTCAGCTACTGAAGGTAATGTGGCCCTTTATATGTCCAGCTGTCCTTTGTCAACTACAAATTATTTTTTGTGTTGAATATATGCTAGATGGTAATTTACGGACCTAACAGGTATCTAAAGCCATTTGCACATAACAAAATATGTATTTTATCAAAGTAACTGTTGAAAAGTCCATGCAGAATGTAGGCACCCTGTATATAGAAAGGAGCAAACCAGTGATAATTTAGGGAGCAGGCTTGCAGGCGGGGCCCATGACTTACATCACAGGAGCCTATACAACACAAAACACTCTTGCTGTATGTAGGTTTCATTTTATTTGTTTTTTATCTTATATTTTGGAAATGTACATCCAGATTTTTTCTTTACATTTTTGGGTGGGCCCCAAAGAGTGGGGCCCTAAGCTATAGCTCGTTTAGCTTATACATAAATCCAGCACTGATCACAGGCTAGAGTCGAGTCAACCAAAGTCAGCTATCAGAGGAATCAAGGAACAATTTGGAATGAAACTGCGTGAGCTTTAGCTAAAGCCAGGGTGTAAACTGTTGGGCTGACTTGAGTGATATTTCTCGACATTCCCTGGCAAAGTCCATCTTCCAAAATCTGACAATTTCCCTTAGCCAAAAGCGGTTGGGAGAGAAAGTTGTACATTACACACATGCATGCAAACACCATCCATGCGGGTGGTATGTTTAAAGAGATTGTACGCAATAAATATGGGTGAATGGTAGATTGGTGATTTGCAGAAGTTCAGCAAGGCGGCTTGACTCCCAATTGTTTAACAACAGCAACAACGAAACATTTTTTTCCCCTACCTAAGTTGGGCTGAAGAAACGCTATCTAGGTGCAGATGTCTGTGTTGAAAAGACCATGAGTTCAGTTCTGGTACTGTAAATAAATCTATGGGCTTTCATTCTGTCTGTCGTTTGAACCTAGATCTGGTTGGTAGATCTTTGGGTTCCAGTAAGAAACCAAGTTAAAATTGCACACATTCCCCCAACTATTTTCACCGTTGGGGCAGATACATGAATAAGCAAAGATAATGCTTCCCTCAGGCCTAGTTGGACCTTGGGTTTTCTGCCTCCACCCTGACAAATGGTTTAAAGTATGTGGCAAAATTGCAAAATCGTCACACAATGCCTGGGCAGATTTTTAAAATAATAATAATTAAAGACAATACTTACAACCACTTGATTCCGTTGCAGGTCCCATTCTGCAGAACGAAAGCCAGGAAAAAGGCCACCAAAAATTGCCGTGTCATCTTTGCCCGGTTCTACTTCTCTCTTTTCGCCACGAAATCTCTTCAGGAGAAAATAAAAGTGGCTTTTGGGAAAAGAAAAAACCCCTCCTTTATGGGGGAGGGAGGAGAGAGGAATTCCTCAAAACGCCAACCTGAAATTGAGGAAGGGGAGAAGAAAACAAAAACGGGTTAACAACCCGCCTTTTTATATCTGCACCGAAAGAGAAATCAAACTGCAAAGGAGTGGTTTGTGAATCGCAAACGAAATTCCCCTGTTCTTGATAGAATTGATGTAGTTCCAGAGACAAGCAGATTGGACGGCTTGAATTGCAGCAAAGGCACTCAAGTCCTATTGCATGTTTTTGGTTAACTCTGCATATGGCAGCTTTCCCTTCTTTATCCTGCCTTTATCCCTCCCCATTTATATATATATGTATGGCTGAGAAGAGGAAAGGAGGGGGAGAAATGTATGGACATCAAATCTCCACCCTCCCTGGAGGTTTTAATCTTCATCCTTTTTTCATTTGCAAATATATTAAAAGTCGAAGTGGAGGGAAAGAGCGCTTTTTTTTTTTAAGGAGACGAATTACAGGAACGGATGTCGGCTAATGGAGATGCCCTCTCTGCTTGCAGATGTTGGAGGCTGCCTGGAGTGCCTGTGAGGGATGCTCGAAGCTGCCTTCTGCCTCTTGATTTCCTTCACACCTCATTAGGTAGAGTATCTCACTTCTCCCACATACTCAAACACCTGGACCCCAAGGAACAACCGCAGCTGGGAATAAGCACGCAATTGCAAACAGCCTCTCCGCAGGATGATCGTGCAGGGCTTTGCAGGAGGTGTGTGTGTGTGTGTGTGTGGAAGGGATAATAATAGCGCAGGATTTAAATGCATTTATTGAATCCTTCTCTTCACTCAATGACCTCAGAAGTGCACACATGAAATGCATCAAGGCAGGGGGGAAATTGCATCAGTTTCCCCGATTATAACGCTAGCATTTCTGTCCTGCATCCTAGCATTCCTTTCACACCTGCATTATGGAACGGAGGCTTCTGGACCAATATACAGTCATACCTCATGTTACGTTTGCTTCACGATACGTTTTTCAAGGTTGCGTCCCGCGGCGACCCGGAAGTACCGGAAAGGGTTACTTCCGGGTTTCGGCGCTCGTGCATGCGCAGACACACAAACTGACATCGCGCGCATGTACAGAAGCGGCAAATCGCGACCCGCGCAGATGCACCGCTGCAGGTTGAGTTCTTTTCATGTTGCGAACGGGCCGCCGGAAAGGATCCTGTTCACAACCAGAGGTACCACTGTACTGGCATGTCGTGCTAAATCTCATGCACACCAGTGGGTAACAGCAACAGACATTACTGGACAATGTTGCTACTCCTCCCTCCCTTTCTTGTTGTTTAGTCGTTTAGTCGTGTCCGACTCTTCATGACCCCCTGGACCAGAGCACGCCAGGCACTCCTGTCTCCCACTGCCTCCCACGGTTTGGTCAAACTCATGCTGGTAGCTTCGAGAACACTGTCCAACCATCTCGTCCTCTGTCGTCCCCTTCTCCTCCCTTTCTACACATGTGCAATTCTGTTCCCAGATTATTCCTCCCTGAAAATGGTGGGTATTAACTGTCTGCTTTTATATTGCTAGAGGGATGAGGGTGGTGCTATGGGTTAAACCACAGAGCCTACGGCTTGCTGATCAGAAGGTCGGAGGTTTGAATCCTCGCGACGGGGTGAGCTCCCGTTGCTCAGTCCCAGCTCCTGTCAACCTAGCAGTTCGAAAGCACGTCAAAGTGCAAGTAGATAAATAGGTACCGCTCTGGCGGGAAGGTAAACGGCGTTTCCGTGCGCTGCTCTGGTTCGCCAGAAGCGGCTTAGTCATGCTGGCCACATGACCCGGAAGCTGTACACCGGCTCCCTCGGCCAGTAAAGCGAGATGAGCGCCACAACCCCAGAGTCGTCCACGACTCTACCAACCTTATTGTTTGTGCTTGTGAAATATGGACCACTTATAAACAGCATCTCCAACTTCTCGAAAGATTCCATCAATGGTGTCTCCAATAATTTTTACACATCACTTGGGAAGACAGACAAACTAATGCCAGTGTCCTGGAAGAGGCAAAGATCACCAGTGTTGAAGCTAAGATTCTTCAACATCAACTTTGTTGGACTGGTCATGTTGTGCGGATGCCTGATTATTGTCTTCCAAAGCAACTACTCTATTCTGAACTTAAAAATGGAAAGCGTAATGCTGGTGTTAAACAAAAGAGGTTTAAAGACTCTCTCAAGGCAAATCTAAAAAAATGTAGTATAAACACTGACAACTGGGAAACACTTGCCTTCAAGCTCTCCAGTTGGAGAACAGCCTTTACCAAAGGTGTCATGGGCTTTGAAGACACTCGAGCTCAGGACGCAAGGGAGAAACACGTTAAGAGGAAGGCACGCTTGGCAAATCCTCACCATGATCAGCTCCCGCCCGGAAACCTATGTCCCCACTGTGGAAAGACGTGTGGATCCAGAATTGGCCTCAACAGTCACTTACAGACTCATTGTTAAAACCGTGTTTATGGAAGATAATATTACTCAGCTGCGAGTGATTGCCAAAGAAGAAGAAGAAGAAGAAGCAACTACAGTGGTACCTTGGGTTAAGAACTTAATTCGTTCTGGAGGTCTGTTCTTAACCTGAAACTTTTCTTAACCTTTTGTCTGTAACCTGAAGCGTATGTAACCTGAAGCGTATGTACCCCGAGGTACCACTGTAGATTCCATTGCTTGAAAAAAAGTGTGTGAGAGAGACAGAGTGGGTTTGATCACATTTCTAACAATATTTAGAATGCATCTTATGCTTTACCCACATTATCATGTTGTTAGGATCAAAGAATTGCAGAGCTGGGAGGGACCCTAGGGTCATCTAGTTCAACCCTCTGTAATGAAGGAAACTCAACAAGATCATACGTGGCAGGTGGACATCTAACCTCTGCTTAAAAGCCCCCAAGGAAGGAGAGTCCACAACCTCCCGAGGGAGACAATTCCACTGTCGAACAGCTCTTACTGTCAGAAAGTTCTTCCCGATGTTTAGTCGGAACCTCAGTTCTTGCCATTGGAATCCATTGGTTCGGGTCTTGCCCTCCGGAGCAGCAGAAAAAAAGCTTACTCCATCATCCAAGTGACAGCTCTTCAGACGTAGGCAATTCTATCACCTCTTGGTCTTCTCTTCTCCAGGCTAAACATACCCAACTGCCTCAACCGTTCCTCATCAGTGTGGGAACATTCAGGGATGCGGGAGAGGATATATTGTTTGATTATAGCCTTTCCAACTTGTGTAAACAAGTTCACAATTTAGCAGAGTAACATTCCTCTTTTTAAACTCACAGCGGATGCGTTTGCTCAGGCTCGCTAAAGACTCTAGAATAACTGTTCTGGTATTTTCCCCTTATTCCCTCATAAAATATAAGACACGACACAGTCTTCTATAAAAGTATAAAAGGAGTTTACTCACTCACATTCTGTTCACAACTGGATCCCAGAAGGGAGACTTAGCTTAGAAAAGTAACATACACCTGGAAACTATCTCATAAGGAGAAAGCCCCTTTGTCCTGTCTTGGCTGAAAGCATCTTTGGCTAAGCAGATGTTGCTTCTTCGACGAAAGTAGTCATAGAGAGATGGCTGCCCTGCCCTGTGCTTTTGCCGTTACCTGCACAGATGAGGCCACGCCCACCTCTAGTCACATGCAGAGGAAGTCTGTCCCAGCCTAGAAGGAAACAGGAAGTTTACCTGCTGGCTGGACAAACATTCCTCCCCATGTGTAAACATGTTCACTCTAGGAATGTTGTGCTTGACTGCTCTTGTGTTTCACATCCCACAATCAGGGCTGGTTTCCTGGACCTTGATCACCTTGGTCAACCTCCTCTGCACATGTTCCAGCTGCTGCTGCTGCTGCTGCTGCTGCTGCTGCTTCTTCTTCTTCTTCTTCTTCTTCTTCTTCTTCTTCTTCTTCTTCTTCTTCACCCTTCAGTCCCAGGGCAGGTTAAAACACAATATTACAAACAATTTTAAAAAATTAAAAACCCTCATAATCATAAAGACTGGTTCATATATACTGTATAATTTGGTCATTTGCATTATTTCCCATATTGCAGATAGAGAATCTTGAGGTCTGCTGAAAGCCACCCAGCATGTTCACAGCAGAGGCAAGCTTTGAAACCAAATATTTGTTGATTCGCTACAGCAATTGCACTCTCTCTTGCTTGCCTTGGTCTGCACTGGCTTTGTGGTTTCATGGTTTTATAGCTTTACTCGTACGCCTGACGGTTTTAACTTGTAAACCACCCAGGATTTTTTCCTCTTCAGTTGGGCAGCCTAAAAATGCAGCAAACGGATACATGGATTGATTCGCAGCTCAGTCTCTTTGCTGCTACGTCACCCTTTATTTATCACAGCAGACATGTGAAAGACAGCAGTCGTAACAACTGCTTTATGCCCAAGTGGGCTGTGAACCCGGGTCTCCTCGATTGACACTCTAACCACTACACCAATCACTGCAGAGACCTAACAACACCGAGTCATTCCTTGCCATGCAGGACCACACTTCACAACAACAGAATCACATCATTTAAAAGAGGTGGTAACAGCTCCTGGCATCCTCAGGCAGTTGGCAGGGCCTGAAGGCTGCTCCTCACCCAGGCAACTGGGTGCAAAGAAATCATACATAGTTGTACCTTCACAGCCTAACCATATATTTGAGGAAAACTCCCTCTCTTTTTCCCCACCTATCTAATTCTTGTTGTTTAGTTGTTTAGTCGTGTCCGACTCTTCGTGACCCCATGGACCAGAGCACGCCAGGCACTCCTGTCTTCTACTGCCTCCCGCAGTTTGATCAAACTCATGCTGGTAGCTTCGAGAACACTGTCCAACCATCTCGTGCTCTGTCGTCCCCTTCTCCTTGTGCCCTCCATCTTTCCCAACATCAGGGTCTTTTCCAGGGAGTCTTCTCTTCTCACGAGGTGGCCAAAGT